ACGATGGCTGGATTGACAATCTTCGGTTGTGCATGTATTCGTCATAAGGATCCAATGCAAGATACCGGTAACGGAGTGTAGCCAGTAAAGTGGAACCTGAGTGTGTTCGGTACTGTTGACACTGTCACGGATCGATGTAACTCTCTGCCTACGGTAGGTACCGTAGCTGGCTATACAATGGCTGGATCCAAGTAGCGAGGAAACAGGAGACCAACGCTGAAAAAGCCGAATGATGAAAGTAGAAACTGGGAAATTTCGTCTCCCGGAGACGATTTGCTTTTAGGGGTAAGGGTACTTTTGGGGAGTGGAGGTTTGAATTATACCCCGTGTGCATTACTTAGAGGCCTCTGTAGAAGTCTACGTATTCGACTAGTATTGTATTGACGGGATACAGTCAACGCATGTACATGCACATGAAAGTCGCCTTGCGTTCTTCACATTTTTCGCATGAATGAGGGATCACATGTTTTGTATGAATGACGAGGGAGCAGTTTCGGGGCTCGGGGCGAAGCAGAGAAAGGGATGAGCGCGCGGAGCGCGCGAATACTGTTTCAATAAAGGGAGTTATGTGTTGGTAATAAAAGATTTATGGAAACGGAGACGAGCCAGGAGGCATATGAATGGAAATTGTGAGAAACTGGAAAATTGAAATGATTGAGAAACATAAATTGAATTGGGAAAATGAGAATTTAAATTGTGATGAGAACCGTAAAATTGAAATGTGTCTAAGATCAGCATTCTTTTGGCATAGACTAATAAGACAACATTGGTTGGCTACCGGTATACCGTACATGTCAGTGGTTCCATAGCAGACATGCATTGTTGATTGAGATACAGTTACCAATGCCTTGCCCATGGTGCAGGTAGGATTCTGAAGATGATGGACTAAATTAGACCCATACAACTATACTCTATGCCTCTCTTTTTTTTTAAACATTGTCTGGAGCATGCAGCACCATTACCAGTAGATGTCAACGTGGGTCAAGTTGGTTTCTATACTATAATACATCCTCCTCCCCTGGCTGCTGCTGCTGCAACAACTCTTGTTTTCTTCGTTTGCGTCTCCGAAGTTCCTTTCCCGTCCGAAGGCGTTGTTTGTTGCGTGGTTTGGGAGGTGAAAATGTGGTACTAATGTTGCTTGGATCACAATAGGCGCGACAATCGTCGGTTCCCGTCATACTGACTCCTCGTGCTTGCAATTCCCGTTGAATGAGATTCCCCACCTTGTTGTTGGTTCGAAAGAGGGCATCGGCCAACCAGGCATGGAGGCATTTCAGGTCGGTCGATTCCGGACTAGACCCCGCGACGCCGGCCCGCAAAAATGCCTCGGCACCCCTTTCGCCTAGTTTTTGTCGAATGATATCGGAATTATCATCAGGTTGTTGTTTTGGTTGTTGTAACAGTTTTTGTCTGACTTGTGCATGCAGTGCATGGGTCTGTTGAATATCCTCTTGCAAGACTTGGTCTTGTTTCACGTATCGATCATTCCAGAGTGGAATGGTTCCCTCATCTTCGAGTGCATCGACGGCTTGTACCAAGAGCGGACAGGTCAATTTGAGCAATCCCGAATTGATTCTTCCTTTTTTGGTATTGGAAGGCAATGGATCCATGGCAAATGCCTGTGGAAATCCATGACGGCAGTTGGTACAAGAGGGTATCCCAATGGCTGCCTTGGAAGGATTGACTTGTCCCGTTTGACGAATCAATGTGGCAATGTCGGCGTCGGACACTGGGATGGAATTGGGAAACTGGGTTGGTCGAAGACTACAAGAAGTGGATGAGGATGATGATGTTGTGGTCTCCAAACTCAAGCCTTGTGCCATGTCATTGTTGAAAGAAGAGACAAGAAGAAGGGTACATGGAAGGATTAATCTCATAATGATAGATAATAGTTGGAAGAACCTCGTCGTTGTCGTTGTGTAACCATGCCAATAGCTTTCTTTGGCATGGTTATCTACGTACAAACATGTTTTGCTCGGCTTTTATTTTGGGGGCGAGGAAAAACGTCATTAGTGACTCAATAGTTGACACCATAGTGACTCAATGGGCACCACGAAACCAATTTTTGAAAGCTCTCTCAAGGTTACGGAGCGATGGCATGTTGGATCCTGCCATAAACGGAGCAGCCTGCATCCATTGCGATGCTCCATCATCCATGCCCTCTATTAGCTACTAGTACAAGCACTATCAGACCATCACGGAGAGCACTACTTGTTGTGATACTGCAGTGTATCGTGATTCTCACAACTGTCTCTGGTTTCCACTGGGCCAGCACAAGAAGATCCCCCTCTTTGAAGAGATACCCTCGTTTGCCACCCTTGATGCTACAGGCTGCTCCTTCGAATACAGGTACTCCTTCGAATACTACTGATAGAACAAGAGATCCCAACAAGAAAATGAGTAGTTCCCACTCCTGTCAATTCTGTCAAGAAGGATTTTCCTCCCGCAATGCCTTGTTTCGCCACTTGCGAACCACGGCAGAATGTTTTCAAAAGGCATCCAACCAAAATGGTACACTGCAATCAGCACCATCCATTCCCTTGCCCAAACAAAAAATTGGAATTCGATTTGGATATCGGTATCCAACCAAAAACACAACTTCTTCCTCGGATGCTACCACTACCACTACTACTGATACCAGTACAAAAGATATCCCATTTTACGAACACGCCGCACAACGAGTCCAACAAGTATTTTTGGAAGCCTTGCAAAAGCACCAGCCGGTATCATTCGATGAGGATGGACCCTTGACACAGGCCACGGTGGCACGATTGCGGCACGTGGTATTGGCACAAGATGACGATTGCAGTGCGGCATCCGATGTTGTGGGATTCCATTATCGAGGAGAAGAACTCCATACCGCCATGGCGGCGAGCATACGGCACGAAATGCAGCAATTATTGGATCATCATCATAATGACACCTCGAATATTCGAGTACTCCACGTGGCAAGTCTCCCCATGACAACCAAATTTCAAGCCGAACAGAGTTGCACCCAACGAATCTATCATTATTTATTGCCCATGGAGTGGTTGCAAGGAGGAGAGGATGTCCAGCAATGGTGGATCCAAAAACCAAATCAACAACACAATCCACGCGCGTACCAAAGACGTCCGGCAGTATTGAAACGGCTCAAACAAGCTCTGCAGGCACTGGAAAGTCGGACACTCGCGGAAAAGCGCAAACCCGAGGAACAACATCCTGAAGAACAACCTGAAGAACCACCGGTAGAACCACCACCACCACAACCTGAAGAAAAACAACCTGAACACGGTCGCAGCACGATGATTGCCAGTCCGGGACGCTACGGATCGCTGTGGCAAAAAGAACGTCGCTGTTTTCACAATTTTTGTCACCTCGGGGGCAACCTTGCCAGTCCCAGCCACGATCCCGTCTGGAGGACCGTCGATCGCGCCAAAGTGATGGGATTTGTGGCTTCGGACAACAATGAGAATGTCAATGCAGTGGTGGAAATTCGAGGCGACGGCTTTGTTACGCAACAACTGCGACGCATGATGGGAGCCGTCGTCGCCATGACCAATGGATGGTTGCCGATCGACGATTATGTCCGCATGGCCACACGCCCGGATGTTTGTCTCGAAACGCCTCTGGCACCATCCCAGCGACTCTACTTTTCGGCCGGAAGATTTCATTTTATGGAATTGTTGTTGCACGGCGGAAAAAAGAATAACCAGAATAGCATGCAATTGTTCGAGGAATCCACTCCCGTGGCACAAGAATGGCAACGGCAGTTGCAATTGGACATGATACGACAAGCTTCTTCAAGTGCGCAAGAACAAGAGTGGCTGCAAGAACTCCAACAGGTCGTGGCTCCCAGGATTCGGACGCAAATGGAACGGATCCAAACAGAAGACCAGGAGAGATTGCAAAAGGTTCAGCAACAGCAGCAGCAACAACACGCCTTTCATGGCGATCATACCACTGTCCGCAACAACCAACCACCACCCGGTCCTTACATAGAGACGGTTTCCCTGTTGCGAAACATTGTGGAACAAGAACAATGGCCTCGGACATCCAAAGCCAGATCACGTGTCATTCGATCGGTCGTTGGCGCGGAGGATGCCACTCCAACAACCACAGCAACAGCCAGAACGACAACGTCGTCCAAATTTGCGGGAGAACGATTCCAGAGCGGATCGTTTACCGTGGTCAATTCGGAATTGTACGACCGAAAACTCCCGTTGGGCAATCAACTGTTCCCAGAACTGGCCAAGGCAGTCTTTGATTTGGAAGTTGCGTTGGCAACACCGGGACTTGCCAATGGCACCATTCGAGCAGAGGGCGAACGACCTCCCTCGTCTCATTGTGCAATCAACAGGTAAGCTGACGCTGTTTCAAGTTATAATAAAGGGCATTGAACCCATTACATCACTCGATTCTCACTTTTTGCACAGAAATGCTGAATTTACACCACATGTCGACTCGGGACGTGGGAGAGGACAGAGCGTTTCCATGATTGTGGGTCTGGGAGATTACGATGGAGGAGCCATATTTGTGGAAGGCGAGGATTACGGTATTCGGTACAATCCACTTGAATTTGATGGTTGGAAACAGCGCCATTGGACAGCTCCCTTTGTTGGCGAAAGGTTCTCGCTCGTGTGGTTCACTCCAGCAGGAAATGACGACGAGAGTGACGCAACAACCGCAGCAACGGAAAACGTGGGCGAGTCCAGTGCCTCTATTGGCGCGAGTAGTCCAGAGGACAGCAAGGCGCAACTGTTGATCCAGGAACACCAGCAACAGTTGCCTTTGTTCCCACCGTTCAAGTATCGGCCTGGTTCGACGGACACGTTGGCTATCATCGAGATGTTCGATCCGGACAAGGGATGTGCGTATGAGCTCAAAAATCACGTCTGGGGACAATCGGGGACTAGCACCAAAGACTTTTCACCCAAGGGCCATCAATGCGTGCTGGACGTTGGAGCTCATATTGGAACCTTCTCGAGGTTTGCTCTGTCTTTGGGCATCCCAAAGGTAATTGCGTACGAGCCTGAACCAGGCAATGCAGAGCTTTTGGCTCACAATCTGCAACCCACCGAGAGCGACGAAAACGAGTCAAAGGACAACAGCAGAGTCGAGATTCATATCGCTGCTGTAGCACACGGAGCGTCAGGATACAAGACTCTTGTTCACGCTCGCAGCCGAAACGATGGCACAATCAACACTTGGAGACATGCGTTGGAAGACTATTCACAGTACATGGACAAGTCAACAAAGCTACCTTCGAAGAAACAAGAGAACATCTTGACCAGATCTAGAGTTTTGTCAGTTCCTTTCTTTGGCAATGCGTTGACGCCAGGAGTGACATTTGTCAAAATGGATTGCGAAGGAGCCGAATTGGATATTCTGCTATCCGAAGCTGCTAGCAAGCCCGAATCATGGCTTGACGTGACCCACTTTGTTTTCGAGTGGTCCTTCACAAAAGAGAAGCGAGTCCAGACATTTCACAAGGCCATAGGCAACTTGCAAGTAGCTGGTTTTCAGGTTTGGTATGATGGCAAGGGAGCATGGTGGGATACTTCTTCTGATCCAAGTACAATGTGGCCCTTCCGTAGTGACCTTGTCGTCTTTGCAATGCGATAGGTCCTGACTTCTGATACCGTAGCTGCTACCAACCGGTTTGACGACTGGGTCCACCTTCACGATATGTAGCTTCGCTTCGTCAAACTAACAGTAAAAAGTTCAAAATAGGATTCGTTTCGACTTTTTTCCAATTTCCCAATTGACACGTACCCATTTCAAATGGAACAGACTCGGGACGCAAAAGGAACAATCAATGCAAGCAACCGCAGACCTGCACGCTGCTTGGTGGTCCATACGAAGTACCCTCTTTGTTCTATCTTCTCCAAAGTTTGCAGTAGTGTAAAAGCCAACAACAACAATGTCAGATCCCCAGGAACAACTGTCGGAAGAAAAGGAGGAAGATGAAGCGACCAGCTTGAGACTCAAGGCATTTTTGCAAGAAGCTGGTATCCCTTTTAAAGTGACGACGCACAGGGTTGTCCGTACGAGCGAAGAGGCAGCCGCAGTGAGAGGTGTGAGCTTGGATTCTGGCGCCAAAGCAATCCTACTCAAGGACTCGAAGTCATCGCCGCCCTTTTGTCTCGCTGTTTTTAGTGCCTCAAAACGATTCTCCTCTAAGCAATTCAAGAAGGTTACCGGACGAAAGAAGATACGGTTCGCCACTACAGAGGAATTGTGGGAAGTAGCTAGATGTGTACCGGGAGCTGTGCCACCATTTGGATCCATTTTCGAAATCCCCCTTTGGGTGGACCGTTCCCTCAGTCGACAAGAAGTCATCAACTTCAACTGTGGATTGCGAACGGCTTCCATCTCCATGACCTACGGGGATTACATCACTGTCGAAAAGCCAAACGTTGACGTCTTTTCCGAGGAGGAAATGGAACTTGGTGACTCTGCAGAAACATAGATCTATGGATATCAGGTGGCCATAATGGTATACGAAGATGGAAACAGTCTCCAATGAATCAATCCACAATCCACTAATGTTACGGGCACCAGAACAAGCGGGAATGCCAACTAAACAGAACTAACCTATTCATTTCCACCGAGATACATTCCAGTAACAACCAACACTCCCCCCATTGCCGTTCTCAAGTCTCTTTCAGGCAGTTAGGATGTTCTTGTTGATTGATTTTGTAGAGAAGCAAGGCTGCCAATCGCACAACAGCCTGCTTCATTTGTGACCACTTCTTCTCTTTGTGGAGTTGTATATTTCTCTGGAGACAATTCTTCAACTGGTACCTTGTAATGAGACTGATGCGATCAGTGTAGGTAGGTGGAGTGCAGCATGATCGTGGTACTCTACCATACTCTCCCATTCTGATTGACCACAGAGATTGATTTCGTTCCAGGGCAGTCACTAGACAAACAGCACCTTGTGATTCAACAGTGTTGTCAGTTCCATTGGACAATGTTGGTTTCACAACACCTGAAGCTGGTTCAACTAGAGGTGTCGATGCAAACTCATTGCCATCCAGGTGCAGATGACGGAGTCCACGAATGTCTGGAAACCTCGATGATAAAGTTGTAATCTGGGCCAAATCAATGCCGCAGTGCTCAGCCTTCATGACATTGAGGGTTGTGTTTGACACAAGCGACTCACAACAGGCTTTCATCACTTTGGGGGTAAAGGGATTCCATGACACATTAAGTTCCAAAAGGGTTTTGTTGTCTGCCGACAGGCCCAATTGAAACAATGTGACCAGAATGTTTTCCGTCAGGCCTGTGCCACACAGTCCAAGGTTTTCCAGACCCTTGTAGGAAGACATAGTGCTGGCAAGGAGAATGGCTGAATTCTTTGTGAGGAGAATGCCACCCAAATTAATCTTTTTGATAGGGCAGCCAGGGGCTTCTAGTGCCCGGATAAGAGGATGTAAGTGGGCACCTTGAACATCACCAGGCAAGCTGTTGACCATGTAGCGACCTTCGTGCCGAATAGGGCGCTCTCGGTGCCGGTTGTCAATAAACCGGTTTTGTTGCAGATCAAGATCACAGAGGCTGGTGGCACTTTTGATGGACTGAAGGAATCGGAAAATGTCAGGTTGGACATAGTCATTCAAGCCCTCCACCATTATGTTTGGGTATGGTCGGACTGACTGTTGAAGAAGCTTGGCACAGAGGTGAATGTGACGGCGCTTTCTATTGGGTGCATTTCCCCATCTCCCAAATTGTTGAAACTCAAAGTGAGTAATCTTGTTTGGTGTGTGTATCAAGTGCTTGCACAGAATATCTGCAGCTAAATCATGGTCCAAAGACTTGATGTGTAAGGTACGGATACCAGATTTCAGAACAATGAAGCACAAAGCATCAAATCCTGCAGCAATCTTCTTTGCGGTGTTGGTCTCCCAATCACCCTTCAGGGCATTTGAATTCTTGGGCGGAGGCAACGATCCAGCCCGACCCCACACAATTTCATTTTGGGAATAAAGAGAGGACCACGGCCGATACCGTAACTCCAGTGTACGGGACCCACCACCACCTCCACAGGCATAAGGCCACCAAGGCCTGATCATAGCATAGCATCCTCTCATTGAGTCCCAGCCCAGCTTCAAGCAATGTACTTGAAACCTGCTTGGCTCTCGAAAGAGACAAGAGAACTTTTCTGCCATTTCTTCTACCGTCCAAGTCCCACTCTCGTCATAATACCATTTGAGAGTCACTTCTGCATCTTTCCATTGCTTGTTGTTGTTAGTGCCGCACATTTTGACTAGCTAGCTACAGCTAAGAACTACCGGTGCTGATATTGGTATGAGCGAATCTATTGATGGTTCTATTGTCTCTTGTCCCTTGTCGTCCTGTCCTTCCGGATTAGGGAATAGGGAAGGAAGGTTCGGAACCGAACCGAACCGAACCTAACCGAACCCAAACGTTTCGGACTTCAATCTGCCTCACCACCACCAACCAGCGCACCAAACCAACCCACCATGAGATTGTCTCTGTTTTTGCTGTCGGCGATTGTGGCCTCCTGCCATGCATTTTCGCAGCAGCTACAAGGCAGTCCGCCACACTGTATCAATCTCAAGTGCAAGGTGAAGCAGTCGTTTCGAGATGAATTTCTGGCACTGGTCAAAGACAACCAGATTCGGACACTGGAAGACGAACCCGATGCCCTCGAATACGTCGTTGGTGAAGACGTGGAAGAACCCAATGTGTTTTACATTCATGAGCAGTTTGAAACACTAGAAGCCTTTGCTTTTCACAGAGAAACTCCGCACAATAAAAATTGGCAGAAATTCAAGACGAACGATCCATTTTCCGAGCAACCCGTAGCCTCCTTCTACGACGGCACGCACAAGGCGACCAAGGTACCCATTCGAGACGCCTATTGCCTAAATGTTCAACTTTGTGTTGACCCCAAGTATAGAGAGGAGTTTTTGGAGGTTATCGCGAATAATGCAAGGGGGAGCATCGAAGAAGAGCCATTGTGCCTGCAGTACGTGTGGGGAGAGGACTGTGCCATTCCCAACACATTTCACTTTCATGAGCAATACGTTGGATCTGAAGACGGAAAGGAGGGCTTTGTAGCTCACAGCAAGACAAAGCACTTTGAGGCATGGGAAAATTTTGTGACCAAGGATCCATTCACAAAGCCGCCAGTAGTGCAATTCTACAAGACCCTGTAGAAGAGGCTACAAAATTTTCAGGCTACCGTGAAACTTGACAACATCAGCTATCAATCTATCTCTATCTATAGCAAATATCTATGAATGGTAAACAAAATGAGACTCGCTGGTGGTTATACCGAGACACTTGTTGTTCCTGCTGTTGTTGTCTTGACGACAGGCGTTGATTTGCCTTTTCCGCGAATGATCTCGACTTCATTGTCGAGCTCAAAATCAGTGATCATTCCATTACGACCCGGAGTGGCATAAAATGTCATGTATCGGATCGTTGCCTTGTCAGGGGCAATCAGAACAGGTGTGACTTTGATCTGGCAATAGATTCTTCCATTTTTTGCCAGGCAAATCTTCTTGATGTCAACTCTTTCTCGAGCCTCGATCAAATCAAAGACAAACTTGATTTGATCATCATTAGTCAGCTCCTCATCGAATGTGCGGCCAATGGCAGCAAACACTTTTGGGGCAAAGTAATACTTGGGTTGTCCTTGGAATATTGAGAAGAAACGCATCAAATTATGAATGGCTCCCTTTGTGTCGGAGATGGCACGGTTAGCTGCTCGGTGGATCTTGGCGGAATCTCCCGACGATTGTCTTCTGACGCAAACAGTTCCAAATGGACTTCTTTGTCTGGTACTAGTAGAGTGCATCTTGAGTTATGTGGTTTCTTTGTTAGTTTGTCCTGGCTGTTTTCGAGCTTCAGTTTGTGTTTTGATTGCTTGTGTGTAGTTTGTGAGAGTATGCTTTGCTCTCACCTCAAGCACTTCCCCATGGCTCTGCTCTGGTGGGCATCCATCCAATCCTGGAACAACGGACCTAGGCTACCTGGATCTGCCAGTATGCTGCATAAACTTTGACTGTGCATCCAAGTCCATCTTGTTGATTTGCTCGTGGCTCGAGCCGAACTGCGAATCAGGCACAAACCTAAAATGTACCAGCCGACATAATTTACTGGTACATTTTATTTAAGTGAATAGTTCCTCAAGAACCCAGTCGCTTGTGACCTTTAATTCTTCGACAGAAATCTGTTCATGCTCACAAGCTGATACCGGTAACCGGTATCTGAGTTTTTCACTGATTGCCTTCGCTTATACTAAAATTTGCAAGATTGCTAAACTTGGTGAAAGCCACCCTTCTCGGCATCTCAGATCCCGCGTGCCTTGTAGGTTGTAGGGTACATACCGGTACTCAGAAAGCCTCCCAAACCTCCCAGCTAGCTCGCTTCTAGCTAGCCCACACTATCCTCAATTGCAACGAAAGCGGAACATTGGCATGGACTGCTTGTACATGTAGTTGTGTTGTGTCGCAATCTTGAATGACAGCAAAAGGTGGGCAGTTGAAGCCAAAGCTGTGCCAATGATCAGCCAAGCATTCATTCTCTGTCGCTTGCATCATGGAGCAATTGCAAGCTAAGCATCTAGAGACGGCCTTCTAAAGGTCCACCTACTATCAAAACTGTACTATCTATCAAACCCTACAACGGGTGGCTCTTTCGGCTGTTCTTTGCTCCACCCATGCATTGATTTACTTCAGTAAAGCATCTCGCAGCTGCTTTTGCTTTTCGGGTCCAAACCCAATCCAGTCACAGTATCCTTCGACACTGCCGTATCGTTCTTGAATGGCCAGAAGGGTATCTTTCATGACTTGTGGCGGTGCACCCAAAAAGACTTTTGGATCCAAACTTCGTTGTGACAGTGCCCCCACCATGGCTTGATGATCTCCCATTTCGGCATAGACATTGGCCGATAACGAGTAGTCTTCTACAATGTGCTCGATTTCCACACCACACAACGCCAGAATAATGGCAGCAATGGCCCCCGTTCGATCCTTGCCTGCCGTACAGTAGAATGCCACGGGATGCCGACTGGTATCGGCACAAACTTCCAAGACAAACTTGATTCCGGGTGCTCCGTATCGAAACAAGAGTTCGTTGAGAAGCTGCAGCCCACCCACGTTGATTTCCTTCAAGAATGGCTTTTTGATGGATTTGCGAGCCCGGCGGGAAAATATGGATGCCGGACTTTTGAGCAGAGTACGGAGAATATCCCGCTTTCGCAATTTAGACACTGTTCCCTTGACGTATTTGAACTCATTCATGAGTGACACAAACATGCGTTCGTTGCGATTTCGTCGGTTAAAGTTGGTGGAATGAAACTGGTTGGCTAGAATGGCACCAGAATCCTCACAACAATCGCAGTCTTCGTCGTCGTCTTCCATGGTGGTAATGGGATATTGATCACTTCCCAAAATAACATTGTCCACCATATTTTGTGCTTCTGTCGTGCGTCGTTTCTTCCAAAATCGTTCCTTGACGGGGAACTCTCCTTCGGACAGCACTCGGACGCATCCTTCCTTGCGTCTTCCGCGATCTCTCCAAACGACCGTGGTAAAATTGCCAAAGACATCTTGTCGCATCAACTTTTCATCATCTTTGAGTTCGGTGGGCGATCGCAAATCAATCAAAGTTTTCAACTCGAGTTCGTCCATGAGCATGTGAACATCGTCCAAATCGGCTTCACTAAGGCGACCCGTTCGGAAAACGCGACCTGGTTGAATGGGCGAACCTCGACAGGATGCCAAGTCACGACCATTCAACACATGTTCCAAGGGTAGATTGCGTTCGTTGGAAAGGCGTTTGGATTCTTCTAGAAATGCTTCTCGGTCGTCGTCGTCGTCATCTTCTTGGTTGGAGGAGGGCGCAACGGAAACATCCGTGTTGGAGGGGGATGAAAACAAAAGATGGTTGTTCTTGGAAGAAGAAGAGGTTGCTCCATTCTTGAGCAATGGGACGGCGGGACCGGCAATAAAGGAATCAACTGGCAACTGCAAACATCCCAACAAGGTCAGAAGCAATGGACTTCTCATGACCCAAATCATGGTTGTGGCAAAGAATCTCAGAAGACGGAAGGAAAGATACCGAAGCAGTGGGGGTAGCAGGGAGCAAAACAATTGGGGAAGCAACTCAGAAAGGCAACTTGGGAGAGCTGGTTACTATACTGTAGATAATGAAGCAATGGCCGATGGTTTATGAAGGAGAATTGGACAGGATGCAGCTTGCAGGTTGAAAGTGTATGATACCGCACGACCGTTGCTTTCGTTCTTTCGCTTTTTATGAGAAATGAGAAGTGTCACCACGTCGGGAGAAGGTGTCAACCGAACCCCGATCCAAATGGTCACGGTTTTGAAACACAGCAGAGCTGGCAGCAACCGGAACCGGTACCGGTACAAGCAGCGCTGAAACACCCTTGCCTAGCTAGTTGCTGAAAGATTTCTGTGATCATCCGACCTCCAAACCGAAGAATCCTGCTAAAATAGCAGCACTATCTACAACGTCCACAATGGGGAAGAAGCCCAGAAGAAAGAAGAAAGGCAACCGGGTTCAAAGAGCTCAAGTTCCTAGTAATGATGAGAACGCCGAGAGAAGTGCGAAATCTGGTGCTGTCGACACCTCTAACAAGGATACTGGAATGAGCTCTGGGATGTCTGCGACAGCGGAACAGTTCCCAACAGTGAGCCAATCTTTTAAATTGCAGTTCATGGAGCATAATGTTACCAACGAAGCTTTGGACAAGATACTCGCAAGAGGCGTTCTGGATGAAGAGCTGAATTCGAGAGAAAAACTTTGGGACTACTTTCTGAAGCTCGTAATCAACTTTCCTACGGCGTTGCTGACAGAATACATTTTACGCGGCCTGGTACTTGGTCCTCCACACATTGACCGCCGCGTGAATTTGGCTCCAGGAAACAAGCAATCGGAATTTTCCTTTCCCTTGCTCTCATGGGCATGTCAGTGGAAACTTGCCAAGGAGAACTTTCATTGGTTAGCACAAGATGAAATGGTTGACATGATCATAAAAGCAGGGGCTAATGTCAACAGTCTTATGGAAAACAAGACAAATGCACTGTTCCTTGCAGTAAAGTATGGATCACTCCAAACCGTGGATTTGCTTCTGGAAGCGGGCTGCAACATTCACCAAGTAGATCAGTTCGACAGGACTTGCCTGTACAATGCCACGGAACACCCATCTCCACCCATTCTCCGTCGTTTGTTGGAGCAACTTCCTGCCACAGAGATGTGTGACCTACGTCATCACGATGGAAGTCTTTGTAGACTGACTATGGTGGACCGTATCATGTCCCACTTCGTAACAGCAGATGAAGAGATTAGTTGGAAAATACTGGGCCCCCCAACTGCATCTGACTTGAGTGAATCCTTGATTGTGTTGCGTCAGAGTGGGGCGTCATTCTCTGTCAAAGGTAGCGCTTTTGCATTGGAGGTTCTTGGCAATGTGCGTGATCCAGAGTTCGCCTTTGGTACGGAAAAACCCAAGGAACAAGAGGTGTTTCGGGAAGTGGCAACATGTTTGGTGGGTGCTTGGTTACCCGACGGTTGCAGGCCGAATCCTTTGCGTGGGGGAGAAGTCAAAGACCCTTTTCTGGCAGATGGAAAGACCAAATTAAAGCCAGATGAAGGCCATGGTGTCAACGACTTTGATGCTGTTGAAGCCCCAAAAACTTGTCAGTTATGTTTGAAAGTGGCAAAGAAACCAGCTACACTTTATTGTGGAGACACATTTTGTCGCAAGTGCATCATAGAGCACAGCCGAAAGGAAGAAGGCAACAGTTCCCCCAGCTGCCCCACATGCAGGAGATTTCTCTGCAAGGAACTTCTAGGAGGGAAGACGGAAAAGGTTCCTTATTTTGATACAATGCGACGGATTGCTGGAGCAAGCACAGACTTGAGCCAGCGCGGACCTCGATACTTCACTGATGATCAACTCAAGGCCGAAGCACAGTTTCAGGGCATCACCTACACTGGAATCAACGATTTGCGGTTGAAACTTCAGGCTGACTTTTTATCCCGGCCAGAGCGTAGCCCCATGAAGGCCAGTGGTCCATCTGGTGTTACCGTGACGGAAGAAGTCTTGTCTGTTGATCTTGCGGCAGCCTTCCCCTTTGGCAACAGTCAAGCGATTAGATGGGCCCCGGAAAAAGGACCAGTTTACATTGATGTTTCAGTTAGAGGCATTCCCCTCTTGGCCAGGATTTCAAATTGGAGCTTGTATACGATGCTTTCTCATTCTGTCGTTGACCAATTGGGACTTCGACGGATTGAAAGTCTCACGTCTACAAAATTTGTTGACATACAGACAAAATCAAAGTGTCGAGATCTAACCTTTACGTGCATAGAGGCATTCTCCATCAATGTTGGTGGGATTGATGTCACACTCAGCAATGCCGTGGAAGTTTATCCTGATCCTATGCCTGTGAAACACACGAAAATGTTTGGGATACAGCTTGGTCAAGATTTTCTTCTATCGGCTCGCTGGGCTCCGATTGATGTTGCAGTGGGGGGGCGTGGCGCCATCAAGAGAATCGACATAGACAAGGCTTGGTCTGTTGACACGTCAATAAAGAACCAGTCCAAAACTTCTGCACTCCCAGATACTCCAAAAGAAATGCTGAGATTCTACTCCTGTGATGGTAGGATTGCACACATACCATTGCTCCACTTCAAGCCATTTGAGAGGGGGTATATCTGCGGCACCTCATTGAAAGAGACCGTCAGGTTTGAGGGGTGTAGATGGTGCCGTCGAGTTTTTCCGGAAGGTATGCAAGGTTGTGACTTGTGCGCTGCGAAGGGAAGAGACGCCTTTTTCTGTACACGCCAGTGCCTACTTGATGCATGGGTAATCCACAAGAAACTGGTGCATGGGAAAGATCGGGAGGAGAGACATCAACACGACGAGATAGATTTGGGAAGTATGGAAGAAGTGGATTAGTTTACCATTAATTGGGACCCGCATCTTTGCTCGAGTGCTGTAGTGAAATCTAGTAAGTAAAGCATGTAGATTGATGTAGTGCTGATCCTTAAAGTGACATTTCAAGGTCACAGGTTGCAAACTCCTCGCCCGACATTTTCCTCGGCCAAGTGCTGAACTTGGCAGCTTCTAATGACTGGGGTAGAGATGCCGGTTGCGGATCATCTCATACAATTCTTGTTTTCCCGAAACCAAGGGTGGTTCTCCTTGGGCCTTGGCATATGCCGCACACTCCTCCAAAGTGGCCTCTCCAGCTTCGATTTTCTTGCCGAGTTCTTCCGTAGACCAGGTCAAGTAGCGTTCCTGGAGCATTTTGTCCAGGGTCCCTTCCTCTTGCATCTTGGCCGCCTTTCGCAAACCCAACGCATAGGCATCCATGGCACCAATGTGACCAATAAAGAGATCCACGGGATCCACCGATTCGCGACGTACCTTGCAATCAAAATTGAGACCGCCAGTGCCGAGACCTCCCTGCTTCAAGACCACCGACATGATGGCTGTTGCCTGAGCCACGTCCATTGGGAAATTGTCCGTGTCCCATCCGAGCATTGTGTCGCCCGTGTTGGAGTCAATGCTACCCAACTTTCCATAGACGGAACTGACCCAAATGTCATGAGCCGCTTCATGGCCCGCCAACGTGGTATGGTTGGGTTCAATGTTGAGCTTGAAGTGCTCATCCAAACCATATGTCTGGAGAAAGGCCATGCAGGTTTGCGCGTCGTAATCGTATTGGTGTTTGGTAGGTTCTCGAGGTTTCGGTTCAATCAAGAATTGGGCGGTGTATCCCTTGGCCTCTTTGTATTTAATGGCCATCCGGTACATGTCAGCCATGTGATCGCATTCCTTCTTAAAGTCCGTGTTGAGCATGCTCTGATAGCCTTCGCGACCACCCCAAAAGACGTGATTCTGGCCTCCCAAGGCATTGTTGATGTCCATGACTTTTTGAATGGAAGCGGCTGCATAGCAAAATGTGTGCAGACTGGGATTGGTCATGCCTCCGTTCATGTAGCGCTTGTGAGTGAACAGATTCTGCGTGGCCCACAAGAGCTGAACACCCGTGGCTTGTTGCTTTTCCTTCAGATAGGCGACAATGGTATCCAAATTCTGCTGCGATTCTTCCAGCGTGGAACCTTCGGGTGCCACATCGAAATCGTGAAAGGTATAAAATGGGACGCCCAACTTGGTAAAGAGCTCAAAGGCCACGTCAATGCGGCGTTTGGCCAATTCAATGGGATCGCTAATGCCGTCTTCCCAAGGACGACACAAGGTTTTTTCACCAAAGGGGTCTTGACCTCCGCCTCCCACAAAGGTGTGCCAGAAACACACGCTGAAGCGAAGCCATTCCTTCATGGGCTTGCCCGCAATCACCTCGTCTGGGTTGTAATGGCGGTAACTGAGTGGATCCGTCGACTCTGGACCCTTATACAAAATCTTGGGGACGTCCGGAAAGAACTCGCTAGACATGGTGGATAGATGGTATTTTAATTTGAGGTTGTTGATGTTCTGAGCTTCTTATTATTATGATTTGGTTGCAATCAAATGGGCTTCTTTCGCTCTACGATTGCTTTGTGCAAACGAAGCCCGCCATCAACGAAAGAAATGAGAGCCAAAGCGACGAAGAGACTCTGATGACTCGACTCACAGCGACCTGGAAAGATCCAATTTGGATGCGTGACTCGACTCGACCCCAACCGGACGTTGTGGTACCGGTACATGTACTGGTTCTGGTACCGCTACCGGTACCGGTACCTGCAGGTACAGAGTCTAGCTACCTCTTAGTATTACTAGTAGTTGAATTGTGGTTCAACACTTGGTGATGAAACCATCTTGCATGACAACCCGTACATGGAAGGAGGTGCAGCTTTCAATACAGGACTTGTGAGTCCCATTGGTCTTGTGGGTCCTCTTGCAGATGAAAGGCAGTCACTAACCCTCGAATTCCACTCCAATCTTTGCTCTGTGTGACGCCATTGCTACAGCAGGGTTAGGAGGAGACCAGAATGTGCAGCATCATCTTCTTTCTGAGGTGGACAGATGTGTGGCCCTGAAAAATGATGTCTTGTTGGTTATGACTACCCTTCATTGGAATGGTAGGCATGGTTTCTTTCTTGGGATGTGCCAGCAGTCTCACATGTCTCTTCTGTCCTGTTCGCCTTCCAGTAAACCCCAGTTGGATCCCAACATTCCAGTCACCTTCTCAATGCCTTATTACTTTGATGGAGTTGGCATTGGTGGGATGCCTTCTTACATTGCCAACTGTGCCAATCGTTCAATCCTTCTGCCAATGTCAATTTGCTGGGAACTCAAGGTTTGTGTCGGCCAGTGATCGAAATATGCGGATGATGCCATTGAAAGGTTGTTTGTACAAGACACTACTCCAAACGGTTTTGATGTCCTTCGGCTTCCCACATGTGGATCTTGCTTGGACTCCGACCCTCACCAGCTCAGCGAACTAGAAAATAGCTTCAATTGCTTTCCACGCTGAGGAGCAGAGTGGATTTCCATCATCTCGAAACGCGACCACCAATGTATCGTGGAAATCATACACCTAATTGGCATGCCAATGAAAGGGACTGGGCAGGCTCTCAACAGCGTCTCATTTTTTAGGTGAGAAAACGGGAAAAACCAATGACAGCAACCCACGCTTTTTTCAGACAGTCCAGCATTGCTCGTGTCGTCCTTGTTGCGTTCTTGTCATTGTCGTTGGGGTGTAGTTTTCGTGCGTCAGAGCTGTTGCCACATACTCACCGGTATCTGATAGTGGCTGACGGTGGCTTCTTTCTATGTCTATTTGGTGTCGCTGCAGATGACAAGGTGGTGCGTACCTACCCCCTTCTTCAATTGATATTTTGGCAAAGGCACTTTCCTTTCTTATCACAGTCCACTGGTGCCACTGGAAGAGCTTTCATCAGTGGCCACATCATCATCGATTGGTCTCCAGCATCCAGCAGAGATCGTGGAAACTCTTCGGAGGTGGCCACATCATTTCGAGCGATCCTGGTAGGGCATTCAAGGACACCAGACCTCGTGTAAATTGACCGGCAACGTGAGCAGAATTGGTGATTAGTTGCCAGACTGTTGGTACTAGCTAGTAATAGTAGTCTATCTTCTATCTTTCTTTGGTAGAAAACACCAACCTAAAACCGGCATCCGCGAAGCCTGGAAGGAGTTAGAGACTTGAAAAGTAACGGGTACCAACGTGGCTCTCCATGTATGTTGTTTGCTGTTGGATCTAAAACAACCTCCGAAGACAACACCTGGTTTCTTCCAAAGACAGCATTGCTTTTTGCTTTGCTTCCGATAGCTGACCAGTAGCCAAGAGGTCAGGTACTAGTACACTGGTAGATACCGGTGGTAAAACCATGTAGCAAACGAAGATACAGGCGCAAAAAGCTCCCGCGATCCCGCGAAATCCAATCCATTCCAGCGTCAGAACAAGTCAGAGTTCTTACCTCAGTTGACATTTAGAAGTTCTCTGGGTTGGCGAGCCGGCACGGCATCAGATCTTAGGAATTAGTGGATTCTACTAAGCAAAATGTCAAAGTCATTCTGATACTTTTACTTTTATCAAAGAGATTGGAAAGCAGAACTTCCAACTTCCAACCTTGCCAACCTCCAACAACGCACACAATTTTTTTCAGCTGCAAACCAAAACAAACCATTCCTACCTACCTAGCTAGTACATACCTGGTACCAATACCTACTCATCCCTCTCATCAAACTTTCACAATGAATCCTTCATCGAACCACAAGAGCTTGACGTTTGCCCTTGATCGTCAGTTTCCAAGAAAGGTAACTCCTGAAGCATCGAGGACTATTGTTCAGGTCACTGCAACCTTGTCAAGTGATGGCGTGAAACAAGGGTCCGATTTTGTTTGCAACAGTAAACGTCGCTCGAGCATTCCCTTTGTGGACATGGATCGAACGGAGCAGCGTCCTTTGTTGCCTCGCCCTGATGCTTCCAAGAGAGCACAAGACCTTCTGAGGGTTCTCCCCGTGCGAAAGTTTGGTCTGCGCAGACGCCCTCAGCGAAATACCTCTGGTTCGCCTGCTCCTTCGATCGTCCTACCAAGTCTCCCACCAGTCGAACAGACCGAGGCCAGTGATACTGAGAATCAAGAGCCCTGCTTCACACCAGCACCCCCTTCCAAGAGACCTCGGTTTTCATCCCCTCCCGCTCTTCATCAGCTCTTTGCAAGCCGTGAACTTTTGTTGCCAGATACCTCAAGTGTTCCCGCGAAACTCATGTTTCCCACCATCTGATCAGATATGGTCGCATAGGTACCTTCTCCACTCCAAGCATGCAGAAACTCTTTCTCCGGCAACATTTTTCATCAAGTTACACGTTCGTTAAGTCACATAGAAGTCTGGGATAAAGTACTAGAGTCAGACTGTCTTTTTACTTCAAACTTTTTAAAGACCGAGTATTAGCCGGTTACCGATAGGTGGGTGGTGAGTGTTTCCAGCTGTGTACCAACCATCTTTTTAGCAATGTGCATGTCAATAAGCTTGCGTCCAGCTAGCTAGAAGGATATCGGGCCAAGCAACTAACGGTGCATTTGCATTTGTTGCGGCACATGGGGCGAGATAGATCAAAGCATAATCGGTTGGATGGTCCACGAATACTTCTCTAGCTAGACATCGCTACCAGGTAGAAGCAGCATGGCCTAACCTCTTTCCTTCGGCAAGAAGTTGTCGGTACCGCTATTGAAACATGCTTGAATCGAGTCACCCGAAAGCTCGAATCACACACCCCGAAAGCCCGAATCACACCCCAAAGCTCACAGGCGAATAGCTGCGCTTGAAGCCATTTCAACGAAGACCGGGCAATGAAGCAAATTGAGGATCCGACTCAGTGTTGAGCATATTGGGCCCGCCCACTCTCGGATGAAGAGGCTCAACAGATCGTGCATAAACCTCTGCATAGTTTCCCACGGCAAAGACAGCATCCCTGAAAAGTCGCTTGTAGGAGGGACCAAATCTGTTGACCACTGGCATTTGGTTAGCCCGAACTTGGGTGCAGCTATTCTCCTCCGCATAGAACAAAGCCAGTACGATGTGCTGCACAAATTCAGACCACTGATGATCGTGTTGCCGAGTCACAAGGCAGCGGTTGGCACTAAAAGGCAGCAGGTATGATGAGTGAGATAGCCAAAGGCGTACTATGCAACATCACTGGCGAAGCTCTTTTGCCAAACTTACTCTGTGACATGTCCAGATAGCGTCGGTCCGTAGAAGTACGGTTGGCTGAAAGTAAACCCACGACGTGTTGTGGTCTCTTGAACGTCTCCAAGAATATCCATTCGATGTCCAGCAACCACGTCAACCTGTCCACTGGCCAGCTTCTTGTACCCGTCGGCTTCACTTTCAAACAAGACCAATTGCAATCTTGGCAACGGCATCGGTTTGGGGATCAAGTCAAACTCGTGTGCTTCTGGAGAACAGGTTTTAACATCCGCAGTCTCTCCCATGAAGACAGAAGACGAGAGTGCCCGGCAATAGTCGATATCAATGTTCGCAGTCCCTAAGATCTCGTCCAGATAGGTTGGCAACATTCCCTGTCGCTGTAGTTGCTCCAATGTTGGAAGACGCACAGGTTCCATTTCACCGGTTGTCAGGTTGAAAGAGGTAAAGTTCAGAGGCATTGGAATCCCACAGATCAACCTTCCTCGATCCAGAATTCTACTGATCGTTCCATTTTCGTACGGATCGGGACCAAAGTCTGTCACAGCCCCACTGGATCGAGCGTAGTGCAGCCCAGTTGTCCCATCGTTGAGCATGTTCATGCCTGCGCGAGGCAAAGTGGATTGTCTAGTTCTTTCATACAATTCACCATAGTTTCCTACAGCGGCAATTGCATGTCTGAACATATTCTGGTAGTCTCGACCAAACGCATTGGTTTGTCTGAATTGGTATGCTGTAGATTGTGTAATGTTGAGCTCCTCAGCTGCAATCAAGCTATTGATAACCCAATTTACAAACTCCGACCAGACATGCGGATCATTCAATCTATAATCGTCGGTCACATTCCCACGAAAGGCCCAGGTCGGCTTCCGAGTTGCAGCAGCATAAGGTTGAAACGAAAACAGGCCCTCAGAGAGTGCGTATGGTCCGTCGTAGCCAGAAGATTCTCTGAGCAGCATCTCAGCTCGATCATTTGAGTAGTCGGTGGAAATGATGTTGCAACAGCCATCTGCAAACTTGTTGTAGAGAGCAGTCTGAGAAGAAACAGTCACAATCTGATTGGGATGCAACCTTTCAATGGCATCGTCCGCAGCTTTCGATCCCTGGATGACACAAACCTTGAGTTCCCGGCAATCCATGAAATTGACGTAGGCAGAACGATTGGCACAGTTGCCAATGTAAGAAGGCATCCCACCAGTGCCAACTCCATCAAAAATAATTGGTGTTGAAAATGTGACTGGAATGTTGGGATCGACATTCCAATGAAGGGACGTCATAACTCCTGGCACCCCCACCAACAAGACATCAATGGTTCCGTTTTCCAGGGCCGTCCATCTGTCTGTCTCAGAAAGAAGATGATGTGACACATTCCGGTCTCCTCCTAACGCTGCTGCAGCGATGGCCTCACACTATGCAAAGATTGGAGTGGAATTCGATGGTGAGTGACCGCCTTTCGTCCACAAGAGGACCCACTCGACCAATGGGACTCACAATTCCTGTATTGAAGGCAGCACCTCCGTCCATGTAAGCACTGTCAAACAAGATCGTTTCATCGCGAAGTGTTGAACCACAATTCAAGTATCCTCGTTTTCGAACCGTATCCAAAGTCGAGGGTTTCCAGCCAAAGACCCCATCCAAATCGTCGTTATCACTCTCTTCTCTCTTCAATTTGAGTATACCCATAACCAACGCCGACACAGTACTAATGAGCAACAGCAACAAAACTGTTCCAAAGAAAACATATTTTTTCCGGACTTTGCTGAGCTTGGATTCGACCAGACTCGCAGTTTCCTTTTCCAGATCCACCACTTCGGCTTGTGCTGCATTGTTGGTGATTTCGTCTCGAATGTGCAATTCCAGATCATCTTCGTCCACACGCACGGCCGAAATCACGTCCCCGGAACTGGTATAATCCACCGTTGCGGAACTGGTATAATCCATCGTTGCTGGAAGCGCTGGCCTTGTAATCGTGGAGAAGGATGATGTATATCCATCCTCCAGGTTGACAGTCATGGCCGTGGCGGAACTACGAACGGATGGATTCTCTTCCAGCATGGGTTGCTGCAGAACACCGTGATCAAATTGTTGGGTCCGCACGAATCTTTGTCCCGGTGCTCCTTGATAGGCACCGGGTATAGTGGTGTCTTGGGCACTCCGAATGCTCGTCGAGACGCTATGTGTGGTCCGTTGACGCGGTGGGGATGGACTGTTTTGTATCCGACTGGCTTGGGCTTTGGCCTTGGCGTCGGCATCTGCCTGCGACCAAGCAGCCGCCACGGCAGAAGAAGGATCCTGAACTGCTGCTGTTTCCGTAGTGTGTCCTACTAGACCACCAACTTGCCGTAGTTTTTCTTCTCGTAGATTGTCATGTGTAGATCGTATCAAATCATCGTGAGCATGTCGACGTTTGCTGTTGGTACCCTTTGCCATGTCCTTGTGGTCATCATCATCACAGGAATCCGTGTCGCGATAGATCCCGTGGGATCGATTTGCCGCCAGACCCAGTAGATCAACCTGATCCTCCTCTTCAACTTGACCACCAACTTGCCGTAGTTTTTCTTCTCGTAAATTATCATGTGTAGATTGTATCAAAGCATCGTGTGTATGTCGATGCTTCCTAGTGCTAGCCTGTGCTGTATCATTGTGGTCATCACCATCAGAGGAATCGGTGTCGCGATAGATCCCGTGCGATCGATGTGCCGCCAGATTCAGTAGATCAACCTGATCCTTCTCTTGTGCAGTATCATGATCAGCATTATCATTCAAGGCGTCAAAGCGCACCCTATTCGTGTTCTTGCGATGAACGGGGCGATGACGATGGATGCTGCTATTGGCAGAATCCCAGCGACGCATGGCTTGCTTCCGCTCCGGAGAACGATCACCACCGGCAACTGCGTCGTCCGAGTGGACCTTGCGGGGTATCCTGGCGGGAGCTGTAGTAGCTGCTTCTGCGGGACGTTTAGCATTAGTTGCAGCCACCTGAGTGTCACTATTCATGGTCATCGTGCCCTCCTCTTGTAGCTCTCGACGATCAGTGGGAAGGGTTTCTTCCTTGCTGGACAATGCGGATTTCTGTTGATGCTCTTGCTCTTGCTGTTCTTGTGATTCAGCTGTCGTCTCGGCAGGGAGGCTCATAGAAGCCTCTCCTTCCTCCTCTGTGTGGATGGCCTACTGCTACCTGCCATAGTTTCTTCACTGGTATCACCCAGTTCGTCTGGAAACGTTTCCATTGTTCCTTTATGATGCCTAGGTTATACACAGGAAGAAGCAGACTGCCGCTTGCTTCTCTGGCCAGCAGAGTAAAGGCGAGCAACTGATGTAGGTGCTGCGGCTGGGTTGCTGTAGCTGTTGCGTGTTGCTGATCGATGGGTGCTCTTGGGCTGTTGTGCATGCTGGTCGCTGGTGTTTGATTTGGGAGGCAAGGTGATAATAATATATGGGAGGCAAGGTTGTTCCTTGTTATTCTGAATGACCATAAGATTTAAGCACAATGTACTCCTCTTATTCGCGCATGACTTTTTTTGCGGGACTGCTGGCACGTACCGGTACCGGTACCCGTACCGTTGCAAACGATTTCGGTGTACCGTACTCAGCACCATTCTGATTGAAGACTGACTCTCTCATCTTTCACATCCACTGACCAATACAATTGCCTTTTGCCGCTAAAGCCCACCAAACCACCCGGGATGCCCAAACCAATCTTTAGCAGCCTCATTCTGGTCTCCTTTTGCTGCAGCCAACATCCGCCTGACAGCTCCATTGGATCCCATCTCCATGCAACCCACACACCCACATACCCACATACCCACATACCCACATACCCACTCACCCACACACCAATACCAATGGATCTTTACTTTTCGCTCCCGACAAGAGTGGCTCACCAAGCACCCCTGAAAGCTTCATTATCCTTTTGCCTACTACATTTTTGAGCTCTTTGCTCTCATCAACCATTGGACCCATTTGGAAAATATCAACTGTACGGAAATAAAAGGGGTTGTCGTCTCCTTTGCAGGGGCCCAAAACCAAGCCACTCCAGGCAATGCATTGGAAGCAGGTACCAGCACCAACTGTCTGTACTGGTGCGGGGCACTACGGTACGAGGAGTTACCCGTGGAAGTGTCAGCAAGAAATACATACCAGGAGCGAAACGCTAACCCTTTTGTAGAAACAGTATCGGAATTGGATCCATTCTGGGCGCCCCCACCACGGAACCACAGCTGCAAACTCCGAAACTGACACCAAACCAAACCCCACAGCCTTGACAGAGAAATACTAGCTAGTATTCTGGGTGGGCAACATAGGGCAAAGGCAGTCATGAGGTCTCTATCTATACTAACAGCAGCATTCTGGACCACCTGTTTATTATTGCATCATGACAATGTACAGGGCTTTCTTCCTTTCAGATTGTCAAGCCCGACCGAGAATGCCAACCGAGTTGTGAGTGTAGGCCACCCCAGCCAAGAAAGGAAGCATCGGCAGCCAATCGGGGTCAGTCTGAATGCTGGCAGAGGAACTCCACTGACCTCAGAGGAAAAGCAAAGACGTAAGCGTGCTTGGAAGGAAATACTCGGAATGACACACGGTGAAATTGACAACGTCTGGACAAAACAGCCATGGTTGATGAGTCTTTCCACGGTCTCGGCCACGGAAAGAGCAAGTTGGCTTCAACACACACTTCAAATCAAGAAAAAGGGACTCAGAAAGATTATCATGAGATACCCACAGCTCTTGGGTTTGCGGATCGAGAATTTGGATGAAAAATGGGCATGGTTTGGAAGTACATTCAACACCACTGATGATCAGCTTGCCAGGGCTATTACCGTTTATCCAACGCTATTGGGATGCAAGATCGACTCTCATCAACAGAAGATAGATTGGCTTCAAGCACGGTTGGACATCAACTCAACACAGGAAGCACAAAAGCTCTTTCTCAGAGCTCCAGCCATCCTCTACCTGTCGCAAGACGCCATCGACTCTAGAATCCAATGGATACAAGATCGTACCGAGCTAACGGGCAAAGCAGTCACCAAAGTCCTTATGAAACACCCTCCCATTTTATATTCTTCTATTGAAGGAAAACTTGATCCAACTTTCACCTGGATTTCTGACAAGCTTGGCCATGAAGCAGCCCGCAAGATGGTTACAAGAATCCCTAGTGTTTTGTGTATGAGCCTCCTAGAGAAAACCGAACCGCAAATTGAATACCTGAAAACTAAGTTTCACCTTGATGGAGAGGGCATCTCTAAGATGTTGTCTCAAACACCGCAACTTGTGGCTGCGAGCCGAGACAACATTGAAAACACCTTCCAATTCTATGCTGATCGCTATGGACACGACCAGACGATCCGAAATGTCATTGGATGCCCAACATTGTTGATGTATAGTCTTGAGAAACGATTGATTCCACGATGGGATCAAGCTGTTGAGCTTGGCTTTGAGCAAGATGCTGCAATATCTTACTTGGCTCTGTACACAAACAAAAAGTGGGATCTGTATGTGGAAAGCAAGGTGGCTGGCAGCTGACCAAAGAGAACTGCATACAAGGTGAACTGATCTGGACAAAGCCCTCACGATATCTACGTTGCTGGCTTGATTTGGTCTGAAGCGCTCTTGTTGTCTTTGAGCAAAACCCCTCTAGTTGTTCTCGACCAGGGATGAAACAGCACTATCACGCAAAAGAAGCAGTACTACGTCATTCAGTGCACTTCCACTTGCGCAAAATGCATTGCCAGCAGCTTCGTGGCTGAATGGTTGCGCCACTACTACCTCCACTAATAGTGAATGGCAATCTGCCCACTCTTGTGGACCCTGTTTCTAGTTTCTAGACATGGTCAATGTATGCATGTAGTTATTGTTTATTTTTGCATAAGCCTGCTTAGATTTGCTTTTAAATTGTTCTCTTGAGAAGTAGAAGCAATGCTCGCTGTGAATCTATGATCTGGCAATGAATCTCTTCAAGAATGCTAGACGCTTTTTCTTTTCTGGGACAATAATGACAGGAGGCGGCCCGTATTTTGTTGTTCTTGATGATTTGACAATAGTAGCCATCATTGGTCCCGCTGCAATCTCCGCTTTTTCTTCGCCTGTTGGCATTTTCCAAAAATCTTCTTGTTCCGGAGATGAGCCGACATGATGAATACCGGTATCCCGTTGTGTCGAAGACTGGCGGGTTCGGTGCGTCTCGGTAGAATATTGCCGTCTGTTTTTGCGGAAACTGTGAACTTTCTCCATAATAGTGCCATCGTTTCTCAGGACGGGCTCGGTGCTGGGGTGCTGCTGGGCAAACTCGTGCTCATCAATGGCGCCCCAAAAATCATCGAGGTGTGGTCGCTGGAACGAATGATTTTGTTGCCGAGATGCGTTGATTTTGCGACGATCATGATGGCCTTTTCTGCCGCCATTGACCGCTTTGACGATCTTCACTTGCTTTCTAGTGGATGGTTTGTTGCTACGGAAGAATGGCATATTGTGTTTGGTGTGAGGCGAAGCTAAAAACTATGGGGTATCTGTGAGCACCAAGAATACTATTACTGAGTAAAGTTGTTTTAAGCTGTGGTTTGATCGATTCTGATGCGTGAGCTGTTCCGGGTTGGTTTGTTCAGAGCGGTCGTTGGGTATCAACAAGGAAGGGGGTGGTTGGGATTTGGTTTTGTCTTGGTTTATGAAACAGTGAAATGGTCCTTCGTGGCTTTTCACGGATTTCAGATTTCAGATTTTGAATTTGTGAGCGGAATGGATCCGTAAAAGCAATCGTATAAACACGTCAGTCGGAGTATCAGTAACTAACAGGCACGATTCAATGATACCCAGGAGCGAATACTTGTACTTATGAAAATCATGTTCAAACGTGCGAAGAAGACCACACTTTTCTTTCTTTCAGAAGGATCTTTAGTAGGATGTTGAAGGCCCCATTGAGGTGGATTAAGAACTGGTTTCCCTACATTGTGCGATGTAAACCCAGCGAAAACTTAAAAAACGGAGGACACTTTGAGCAGGGAAGGTCTGGGGCTAGCAGCTGACGTTGGCATCACGTCATCAATCTCAAGCCTTGTACGATTGTACGTAGGAATTCCAATAGGTTCATGCATGCCTGTCGTCAACTCTTTTGGTAGCTCTTCACCCTTTCGGTAGCGCAGCTGAGCATGATGTTTGGAGCTGTTGAGCCCCAAAGCTTGCTGATGGCTGTGCCACGACGACGAAGGCTTCCGGAGGAGCTTGTGCCGGAACGGTGGAAAAGTTTGAATGCAACAGTTAGATTTGGAGCGTATCATTCATTGATTCCGTTCCCACTCCATCACTCGTCGAGTACTCGTACTCGTACCTCCATTCATCTTTGTTTTCGCAGTGGCTGTTTTAGATGAAACGCACCTTCCTGCTATTCCTAGCAGTACTTGTCCCCTCCTGTTCCATATCTGCTTCCTCGTCCTCGGGTCTTCGAGGCGGCAACCTTGGCCATGGTTCTGCCAATCCTGCAAAAGAAGAAACGCAGCAGCATAGCGTTCTGTTTCAGAAGGGATTCGTATCAACCTGGCTAGACGAAAATGTTTGGGATCACCCCGTACTAGCCGCCGATCGAGTGGTCTTTCAATTGCCCGAAAGCTTCACGGAGCAGAGTGGAAGTGCATCATCTTTAGACACAATCGAGGTCGATCCTACTAGTCAGCAGCGGTTGCTGGAGGGTGAAGTGGTGCCCACAAATCAGGGCGAAGGCTTGGTGGTGTCGGTGACCTTTCGGGAGATTTGTAAGTATGATGCGTCGCTACTAGTACAAGCTAGTAAGTTATGTCTCTGCTGTATGTAGACTGACAAACTCATGATTTATTTGAATATTATGTTTTGTACCATGCAGACAAGGTTATAATTTTCATTGCCTTTGCCTGGCTGCTTGGAACACTATCCGTGTACATTGGCTTACCAAGCCTCGTGGGAGAGATTGTAGCTGGGTTTCTTCTGGGACCCCCTCTGGCAAACTTTGTGCCTTTCCCCGGGGCATTAGTGTTGGCTGGCAACATTGGACTCATTGGCTTGATCCTGGAATCAGGAATTGGTTTGGATGTGGCTCAATTGACGGAAGTAGGCAGTCGAGCTCTGGTGATGGCCGTTCTGGGGTCATCCATGCCACTGTTGGCTGGATTTGGTGTAGGACGATGGATAGGGAAGGATGTCAAATCTGCGATTGCTGTGGGCGCAGCCTTTGCCCCTAGCTCATTGGGTGTCGCTTCAGCCGCTTTGAGCGCTGGGGAAGTTCTGAACACGCCAATTGGGCAACTCATTGTTGCCAGCAGTGTTTTCGATGATGTGTTTGGCTTGATCTTGCTGAGTATCCTCGAGGTGTTTGCCAATCCAAATCCCACAGCGTTTGACTACATCCTCCCCTTTTTGGCTAGCTTTGGCTACTTGGTTGTTCTTGGGCTTCTTGGCATCACAGTCCTTCCGAAGCTCATCGAAAAGAAGATCCTTCCACTGGTGGCGGAGGATCATCGAGATCAGTTCGCCATGATTCTCATGATGCTGCTCATGACTGCCTACATGCTGGCATTGAACTACTCTGGCGCTTCGTACTTGACGGGCGTGTTCCTTGCAGGCATGACCTTCAGTCAGATACACACAGTTCATGCGTCTTTCCAGAAGCATGGTCGGCCCCTGTTGGAGTGGTTGTTGCGGATCTTCTTCTCCGCAACGATTGGTGAGTGATCATGCACTGTGAATCCCATCCTGGCTGTGCAAAGTGCTTCTCAATTCTATGCTCATCTCACCTTTCATCCCTCTGTCTCGGTAGGCTTTCAAGTTCCAGTCAAGTTCTTCTCGAAAGTTTACGTGATCAAGTGGGGCTTTGCTCTTTGTAAGTTTGTCCTCGTTTCAGCGCCGATGGAAATCAAGTGAATACTCCTTGGGCTGCATTCTCACCGCCCAGAGTTCCTTTCTTTGCTCCAGTGCTGCCAGTGTTTGCCAAAGTTCCGCTTGGTTTCTTGGTACCACACTTCCAGCGTGACATCCCGCAAGACTTCCCCTACAACCCCTACTTCAGAGATGTCATTGTCACATCCTTGTCCATGGCTTGTCGAGGAGAATTCAACTTTATCGTGGCTTCCTATGCGTTGAGCCAAGGGTTGTTTCAGGCGGAAACGTACTCGGCAGTCATCTTCGCTGTCCTATTTGGCAGCATTGTTTGCCCCCTGGTGTTGTCCAAGGTGCTGCAGTACTACAACACCCTATCCATTGGCTACCTGGAAGGGAAGCATCCAATCGAGCGCATTGGCAACACTTGTGATGGGTACCGCCCACTTTTCCTTGCTATTCAGGCCCGAACCCCTGTCCATTGGAGCCTCCAGGAGGCGTTTGAACGAAGTCTGGCAGAACATGGGCTTCTTATCATTGACCATCGATCTTGGCATACTCTTGGAAACAGCAAAGAAGCTGTTGATATTACAGAGCTGTTTGTGCAAGACACCAAGGTACGAGTGAGAATCAAAGGCTGTTTCGGGACAACCATGTCCGGGCGGCGTTCTGGTGGTGCGGACAGTTCCAAGGCGGACCAGGCAATCAAAGCGACTGACATGGAAGAACTAGTGAGAATGCCAACTTCAAACAGCCCAGATTCAAGCATCAACGAAGAAACGGACGAATTGGGCGAGATTCAGGCTAGGTGCGAAGAAATCAGAAAAGGTACGAGGTCAACGGCTGCCAGGGATCATTCTGACTGCTGCATCCCGAGGATTCTCACTAAACACTGCCCCTGTCATCCAACTTTGCAGCCCTGTCCGAATGCCTTGTGTCTGATAGCCCTGAAGATTATGCTATTCAGGTTTCACAGTGGGAGGCCTTTGTGGTAGACAAGAGCGGCCCATCTGAACGTCAGCGCTTTTACTCCTTCCACTCGAATGTCGCGGAGGACGCGGAAAAGGACGGAGAAGCGTCTGCTGAAGCCACTTCCTTCGTTGACAGTAGCAGTGAGCAGGATTCGAAACCCAGGCTCCTCAGGAAGAGCACCACCCATTCCGAACATCCGGATGAGGGACCAAGTCTTTCACAAGTTGACTTGTGGGAAGTGGACAATGGGTGCCACGATGCGTGCCGTGAAGGTTACGTGCAATCCCCGGACTGCAAAGGTTGGGGAGTCCAAAACATCACCGAGGGCCCAGATGTGGAAGAAGTCGCTCGTCCAAGAAGCCGCCGCCATCTGCGAGCGGTTAGCTTTGATGCAAGCCTTCTTACCGCGCATGAAACGGAGAGAGATCTGGAAACGAATGTCATCCGCGATCGACTCCATGGTTATGTTCGCCACGGCCCTCTTTTGCCTTTGCACGAGAGCTGATTGCTTCGTCAGTCTCTGCTGCAACTTCCAGGATCTACGCTCTCCTCCACATTAAAGTCAAATGTAAACATATACTGATAAGACTAAATACGTTGTTACGTCTCAAGCGACCTCACAGCAGCGCAACCTATCTAAGAGGTTTTGGGCATGTGGGTTCAGTTGCCATATGATCAACAACAATACTCAGATCAAATCATTTCACTTGCAGTGATACACATCAGTTGTTCCCTCACGCAGGCATTACCCCGATCAGGTTCCAACGGTAAGAAATCAGACACACAAACTCCACACACTTTCCTGACTTCACTCTCAGCTTTTAAACGCATCAATAGATGCGTCTGCTCCCGCCAACCGATGCGACCAGACTGCAAGTCGCTCAAAACAAACACACTTTCACTGCAGACAATAGGTTAGATTCTGTGAACCATCACCGCAATCATCGCTAGCTAGCGCGATCCCACGCACCGTTATCACAAATCTGGGCTCAACACACATTCAACTAAGCATCCACCTCGATAATACGATCCTTCTCGTTCTCCGAATCAGTTGTGACGATTTTGCCTTCCTCCTCCTCAAGATCCAGCTTCTCCTTTACGTCATCGACTTCCTCGTCGACGTCAACGTCGTTCTCCATTCCATTCTCAGCTGTGCCCTCGTCAAAGGGAAGAGGAATCAATGGCATCCTCGCACGGTCTCCACGCGCGAGGATATCAAGGAACGACACCAAGTAGGTGAAAAAGCCACTGATGAGGGGAGTGATAATGAAGGACACCATGGTCTTGCTTCCGCAGAGAGCGCAGATCGCGTCATTTCGAAGCCAAAAGTAATCAAACAACCCTCCGTCCGCATCGTTTACGACTCCATTGATTAGGACCGTCACGACTCCTGCGATGCATCCAGAAATGGCCCCAAGTTCGGTCGGTGCCTTCAACAAGCCCCAGTCTCTTGTCTGCAATCCCAGAAAGACGGGTAACACACTAGTAGCACAAACCAAATCTGCCACCAAGAAAAGACTGATGACATCATACTGAATCGATGCCATGTAGATAGCTGGGACGTTGATGGACACCACCAATGCTCTTGTGATCCATTTGGGATTCCAGCCAATCTTGACCAAGTCAGCACTGAAGATGGAGGTGATCCCATTCTGGAGAGAATCAATCGATGAAGCAGCAAGCGCCGTCACCAAGATCAAGACAAGAACGTGCCATCCATTGCCCATGGGTGCGAGCAAATCGAAAAATGCCAAAAAGGCAAACTTTTCAAAGTTGTCGTAGGATTCCGGGTCATTGGCATAGGCAATCATCCCCATGATACCAAAGAATGCCATGAGCAAGAAGACCATTGCAGATCCTACGAGAAAGCCTCGACGAAGGGCTTTCTCATCTTCAGCCGCCCAGACACGTTGCCAGGTAGCTTGGTTGAAGAGTTCAGCACAGACAATGGCAATGAAGAGGGTGACTGCCGCCATGAGACCATCCGTGGTCCAGTTGCTCGCCAAGGCGAACTCTTCTCGAGTGACACGGTTTTCTTGGAATGCACAAACAGCAATGGTCAACATCAAGACCAAGAGAGCCATGATGATGCCTTGAAACTTGTCTGTGAGGATACTGGCAGGAAGTCCTGCAAAGGTGGTGTACAGCACCGTGATGGCACCCAAACTGATTGTAACGGTGAGACCGAAGGAATCAGAAAAGTTGTTGACCAAGAGCGCAAAGACGTTGCTGATGGAAGTGAGCTCTGCCACAATGTAGATGAACATGTAAAAGACGCTGACCACGGCGGTTGCCACCTGCATGACGCGTCCATAGCGCTGGCGGCCAAAATCAGTAGTTCCAAAGGCCTTGCCACTGCCATTCTCATCCATGTAGTTTCTGACTTTGGGTCCTAACCAAGTGATCAAGACGGCTGGAAAGGCGGAGGCCGAGGCATAGCCCAGCACGCCAAGCCAGCTCAGGGATGGTGTAGCTCCCATTTCAGTGGTCCCGTACACAATCCATGCGCCCATACCGCTTGCAAAGAAGGAGAGCGCAATGGAGACACTGGAAGCAGAGTTGCGGGCGGACAAGAAGTAATCCGTTGTTTTCATCTTCTCGTGGTCACCAGCACTGCTGTTGTTGCCAAGCGTAAAGCATCGGCTGATGCTTTCAGGGAGGCAGCTGAGCATTCCCGTGCTACCCACAGCAAGGAGACTGAAGACTCCCAGGACAATGTACAAGACAGCATAGGCTGCCGCCTCCGAAACGTTGAAGGCCATGGTTAGCAGTAGTAGTTGCTTGCAAGTGAAGTACAACGAAAAGCAGATTGATGAGGTAAATGAGATAGAGTAGAAGATACACAAGCCAAAATCAACAAAAGTGTGGGTTGGATGGATACGGTACCGTATCTTTCGCACGGATTAAAATTGATTGGGTTCAAAGATCCATGTCAGGATTTCACCCCCACCGCCAACAACCAACACAGATGGGTGGATGCTGTCAATCACAGAGGATGTGATTGGAGGCTACTGACGAACTTTGGTTCCGGTTGCTGTTGACATCAACAGAAGGTGGTACGCACTTGATGTCAGCATCAACATGGTGATGTGGGCAATACTAGCTAGAGTACATTAATAATTTTGAGAAGCCTTGGCTTTGAGGGGATGAATTCTCTCCACGTCAGACTTTACGCTCGGGAGTGACAGTCGAGTCACCGAGCCTCAGTCAAGCACGAAGTAGATTCAAGGGCGAGGGTTTTGGTGTCCTGTGCATGTGCTGGCCAAATAGCATCGTACATGACATTGTATCAGCTCATGTATCATATCATCACACCAAAAGAGTCCCCCCAGTCAACGAAAAAGCATGATCCAAGGACATAGCACTAAACTCTTAGTAAAAAACCTAGATAATCAAAAAGTGCAGTACAATCAAATTTAAAGCCACTTTCAAGCTCTGCATTTCATAGAGTGTACCGTTCCTTTTCCCCAGGAAAGCTTCTCCAAGAAGATTTTCAGCGCTTTTGCTTCTTGCTGGCTTGTACGTCCCCGGTTGTACTCATGCGCTTCGCCACTCCAGCGGCATTCCTGAGCATTTGGAGGGAAGCTCCAACGGCTCCTGAAGGTTCAGCACCAGAATTTGCCCGACTTGATGACAGGACAGATTGAGCTAATCGTTCCATACGATCCAAACGAAGGGTTCTGGAGACTCTTGACTCCTCCATCGCGTGGAGCTCCTTGGTGACTTGATTCATTCGTTGTTGAACGGACGATTTGGTCAAGCCCATGGAATCAAAAGCAGGGCATTTGTGCAAAGCAGGGCCCTAGATCGATAAGCAAGGAGAACAGCCATTGCGTGAGTAAAAAGGAAACAACTGACTGAACACTGAAGTGGCCTATGCTCCCAAGCATTGACTTACAAGTTGATATTCTGTGCCAAGATCGCTGGTCGATGAGAGGACTCCAGTGAAGCCCTCGGATAAAAGACGATCACAAAGCAAGATCTCTCGTACGGCGGAACCGCCCATATCAGCGGCGTCCCATCCTTTGGGCTGATCTTCCCAAGTTTCACCGGCTGAATCCGCTTTCTGGGCGGCTCCCTGGATCTTGCTCTTGATTTCATGTCCCTTGCTCTTGACAAAGACAGAGCGTAGTCGAGTCAAAAGAGCAACTTGGTCAACGACATCATCCGCCAACTGAGGGTCAAATGCCGCGGTCGCGACGACTGCAGGATCTTCCTTGTATTCAGCATGTTCTAATACAAAGTCCGCAGTCGCGAATGCGACCGGCCGTCCAACCGGATCAGCAACATCCAAGGTCATTGCCCACCGTGACAGTTCTCGGTCCAGCCACTGGGGTACGTGCATTCCGAGCCCACTGTATTGCTTGCGCTGCGATGTACCAGCCGCCGCCGTCCCATGCCGTCGCAGTTTTTCCAGCAGCATAATCGTCTTGGTTGCCAGTTCCCTGGGGTCTCTTTGGTACTCAACAGCAGCCTCAGTTGCAAGTCTATCTCTTGCTTCCATTGGTTGGTTGCTGTTGTTCTTCCAGCCACTGCTGTTGGCTTTTTGCTTCAGGACGCTGGCAAAACCGTACCAAGTCCAGTCCAATCGCTTGGCAAAAGTGGGCAGGCCCACAAAGGACTTTGTGTGCGCTTCAGGAGTCCACACTGGCAACCCATGGGAACACAATACGGACAAGATCAGGGTTTCAAGGTGAGACATTTCCAAGGACTGAGCCGCCGAGAAGGCTTCAGCGCGTTTCATGGCCATGGCAATACCAATTGCTCGCTCTCCGGCCGAATCGGCACCGGGCTTGCCCTTGCTGGAGGCGCCAGGAGTGCTGGCTTTTTCTTGTGCTTGTGGAGGAAGATCACCAAGGTCGGAAGGGGCGGCGCCAAGAGCTTCGACCAGAGAGGCACGTCGTTGAGTTTCGACCGAAAAATGACGCGATGTCATGGCCGCGGATGGATGCAGAGAGGGCGTTGCTCCCATCAATCCAGCACCTGGAGCACGAGTACTTGGACCACAAAGAGATGCTGCAACGGCTGCTTGCTCCCTGGCAGCCGCAGCAGCTGCTGCCATTTGCATCTGTTGCTGCTGCATTTGCCGGTACTCGACATTCATCATCTGGGCTCTTTGCAGATCAGCGGCAGAACCATAGACACCAGCATCCAATGGACCGCCGGGCCCCAATCCTCCAAACGCTGCAACTCCAGGAGAAACTCCTACTGCAGCCGCATCCATAAGGTTCTGTTCTCGCATGATGCGGATGCGTTGCATTTCTTGCAGCCGAATCATTTCAGCTTCGGTGGGGGCAGCCTGCGACTTGTCCCATAGTTGACGCGACGACGGAGGCAAACCGCCCAGAAGGCTTCTGCGACTGGCGGGACTGGCTAGCGCTGTTGGATCCACACTACTTCGCCTGCTTCGTGGACCCATAATGTCAGCCTCCATGCCAGGAGGCAGCATGGCATCGTACATACGAGGCAAGTTGTTTCCTCCCAAAACAACCTTGGATGAGGACTTGGCACTCCCCGGAACCTTGTCTGCATCCTTTCCATCCGCCTTGAGCTTGGGACTTCCTGCTGTCTTTTCTTCGGAAGACGACACACTGCCGTTCCGTTCCAGGACACCCGTTCCGAACTGAAGATTACAGTCCGCCTTGTGGATATTACTCTCATTATCATTGACCCCCCGTGGAAAGCGATTGGTCACATCTTGCTCCCGATACTTGCCGCCATTGGAAGAGTCTTTGTCCTGGTTACTATTACTGGCAGCCGCCGCCAACTGCATGAGTTCAGCGGCATCATCCTTGTTTCGGAGTGCCTGTTTGACCTTTTGGACTTGGGTATCTTCATCGACAATGGCCCAGACTTCTTTGGAATGAAAGCCATGAGGAACTCCCAGTTGTTCCAATTCGGCCGTGCTCTCCAACTTTCGTAAGAACTTGCCTCCACGTGAGGCGATGACTTCCAGAATTTCTCTGGCAATGGCATCTTTGCGCATTCGTTTTTCCGCCGCAATATACTCGACTTTACGCTCCTTTACCAGACGACGAAACCGAACATTGCCTTCATTTTCAGCACAGGGAGTGCCTCTGCCCAATAGAACGTCGTTTTCGGTAACAGAGGTCACAAAGGTGGGTTGGGGGGCTTGCTGCTGCTGCTGCTGATGGAGACCATGCCGAGGAGCCAGACCATGAGGAGGATGAGGATAGCCGGAGTAGAGAGAAGCCTGGCCTGGCTGCTGGAGTCTTGCTTGTTGCTGGCGAGCCTGCATCATCATGTTCAGAATTCGTTGCTGCTGGTTGCCGCCGTACTGCATGTTGCGATTCATTAAGCTTGGGTAGAAAAAGAAAAATAGGGAGGTAGATGGGTAGATCTGCAGGGGTATCGGAAGAAAAAGGTACAAAGACAATGAGAGACAATGATACCCCCAAGCAGGATAATGCCAAGTTTACATGGACAAACTCGTCTCAGACGACGGTTATCGCCATGGGTACCATCCAGAATCCAGAACATCAAAACTCCAACAACAGCAGCAACCCGTCAATGCTTACCGACTTTGATGCTCAACAGAATGAGATTGTGGGCACAAAGGAAGACGAGTAAGTGAAGCTCTTGCTTTCAGAGAATAAGGATTCCCAGGATTACTGTGGAAGTCAAGGAAAGTGATCAGGGTTTCCAGCGTTTGCCTCTATGATATGTATGTCGCTAATGGACGTGAATTACAATTGGCTTGCTTGTGTCCGGTTTTTGAAGTGAATGCTTGATGGCACTGATGATGGTGCATTCGCGGCTTTGCTGCAACACTTTGGAGTGTAAAAAAGTTCTCGTACCAAAAGAAATCAATCGATCTTTCGATTCCTACAGATTTTTCTATACAGTGTGCTTGAGTTGTGCTGGTTAGGCCCACTGGTAAATTCTACTAAGTCAAGTCGGACACCACGAATTCTGGAAGGTGCTGGTGAAGGTCCTCAACAATCCTATTCAACGGAACGTTAAACTATGCTCTACCTAGCTATTTTCAACCAAGAAGTACCATGTGTTTCTACACTGATTGAGCTCTAAACAATCCCGCCAAATCTCAAACGTTGTTGAGTGCCCAAGATCCAAGGGGTTCCGGAAAGAATTCGCTGATTTCGAGAGAACCTTGTGTGGTAGGTCAGTAGTTTGAGTTCACACATTTACTAACCATTGAATACAAGACAGCAAGATGTGAATTATTGGGTATCTTGATCGATATAAATCCATTGGGGCTTTGTAGTATTAGATACTCAAGAGCATACATGATCCAGAAAGAAAGTGATTAAATCTATTAGAGACTTCGCTGTAAAGCAAAGCGTGATACTTGAGACTGGTACGCATAGATAAATAGACAATTTACACTAGGTGCAAGGGCTGTGATATTATAGTTGATTGCGAAGAGCTCTGGCGATGCATCACCACTTACATCGTGAATCCTGTCAAAGTGAATACTATCTCTCAGGTTCACGCGAAAGAGACAGTGACCCCAGGTGATGAAAGGAAATCCCGCTTGAACGGAAGCTCTTACTTAGCATTCTCACTTTCATTGCAATAATAGAAATATCAATGGAGTCCTCCAACACAGCAAACGCGTTCCCCAAAGCTCAAAGGGAACATTGATAAATTGAGTCAGGACTTCAAGAAAAAAGCTCTTCAGTGGCCGAAACACCCACTAGGTTGGCAGTCGTCCATGGAATTGATCAGTTGAAGCGAAATTGAGTTTCTTAGGTGAATTACGGGGGTTATTCGCACAAACGTGACCTCTCCATGAGCCAGTGACGAGGAGCGTTTCTCTACTGTCTTCTTGGCAGTTTAGCTGAACGAACTGGTGTCTGGGAGCATGACTGGAAAAGCGATTCTATGAGGATGGAGAAGTCAGAAGCTGTTCAGCGTTGCGAGAGTACGAAAGTTCTACGGTACCATTCGTGTTCGTGAGCTGTACTGGTACATGCACCAGCACAGTGTATGTGGTATGGGTACTGTATGTAAGAGCAGCTGTTCTTTCCTGGGCAGTCTCAAGATCGCTCAACGGCTCATTTATTTTGAGGCCTGGTTTATACCGCACATATGCCCCTTCTGTCCACAATCCAGCAAAAATACAAGTAAGAGATTACGAGGCATGGTTTGCACCGGGATGTTGCCAGTGGGGCTTTCGAGCGCTCGAGCTCTTTCGAGGCCTCAAGTTGTGCGGTTTCACCAGTGGTACAGCAATGTACGGTTGTGGACGTGGTCTGCTTGGAGCGAAAGGAACACAAGAGGGAAAGAAGTTGTTCTGTCTGGCCTTTGCTGTATGTGGCTACATATAAGCTTATATGTACCGGTACCGGTACCAACTGGTACCGGCCATGTACTGGTGATGCATGCACAAGTACCAGTGCAACACGATCTTTGCTTGCACCCACAAGCCACAGTTCCTGCACTGGGGAAAGAAAAGGCTGAGCAAGATACACAGACTACACATGTACATACATGTACATGTACTGTAGACTGCAGAACAGATTCTGTAGACTGTTCTACAGATTCAGGCTTCAATGCCTTCCCACAACAGACGCAACAATTGCCTGTCACGGTTGTATGCGAGCTGTAATAAATAAGGAAACCTGGACAGCACGCAATGCCAATTGCCCACCACCCCAGACTTTCGAAATTCGTGGATGAAATAAGCAGACCCATTCAAGCTGAAGCGTGGATGAAATAAGCTAGCTAATATGCAGACCCATTCAAGCTCGAAACGTCCAAGATACCTGGTACCTGTACCGTGCCAATGTCACCGCGGTATCGGTTCCAGTGGCCCCCGCCGGTACAATAATAGAATGTCATTTGTAAAGCTGAACTGTTTCTGTCGTCTCCCTACTAGCTAGACTAGCTACCCATAGTACGGTAGTACAAGCCAAACTACGCAACGAAAACAAGAAAATTGTGCCACCACAGCTGTGGCTCCATTGCTTCTACTGGCTGGCTCAGCAGCAAAATCTACATCGACGGGTCATTCCTCCAACCGCTGGAATGCTGGAATGAATTGCCTCCAGGCATGAAATGGTTGTACGAGTACACATGCGTTGGACCAGCCTTCGCGGAACGAGCCATCGCCGTCCAGTATTCAATAATTGAAAATTTGTCATAGCCTGCCTTTGCTGTACATGTACATGTAGTCCATCATGTCTTGATGCGATGCTCCCTTCGTTAATAGTAGGATTCATTCTTACCATGGCAAGCTATGCAGCGGCCACTTCTTCCTGACTACCTCCAGCACTGTCCTCCTGCTTGTAATCTTCCAATACCCCACAATCGACAATCCGCAAGGTAGCACTCTTGGGTTTTCCGTAGGACGTCAAGACAGACGTTTGCCATTCCTGAATGACGGCCAAGGATTCGGGTGTGAGCTTTCCAAAGGCTCGATGAATGCCATCCAAATGAGGGCTGTCATGAGCGCAAAGAATGAATCTCGAGTCAATTTCGTTGACCTTGGCACACAGCATGGCCACAGTTCCGGCCGTGTGCCACATCGCCAAGGGTTCGTCCGCCGGAGGTGGCAAATCGCGACGCAAAGGACTGGGTCGAATCCGCGTATTGGGTACGGCGTTGTCGTACGGAAAGGATTGCCAGCATTGTCCGGTCCCGCCCGTATTGGTCAAGACGTCGCCTCCACAAATACCCACTTCTCGTTCAATTCGATACAAGATGGTATTCTTGTAGGCAGCTTCTTGGATCAGACCTATAAAATTGATACAGGTCTCGGGCATGACGGTGGATGCAACTTGCATAATCAAACGTTCCGTGGTAATAGAGGGTTGATCCACAGAAAACTTGTCTTGTCTTTTTCGGGAGCCTCGGCACTGGTAGAAGTACCTGTAGCATCATTTTCTTCGGACTCTTCTTCCTTTGGCACAGCCACAGAAATATCTTCACTGTCTTCCGCCACAGATGGAGAAGCAGCAACGACATCTCCTCCCGTGGTCGGCGGTTCCACGGCAATATCCAGATAGACAAATTGACTTCCTAGCGACAAGACGGCATCGTTCCAGTGTTGCAAATCCCAGTGATGTTGATTGCGATCCCAGTATTCGCCCTGCAACGACCGACCTCCACGACCTTCCCGATACTTGATGTACCATCCGTGACCACGAGATCCGTGACTTCCATTAATCGAACGCTTCCCTTTGCCCTTTTTCTTTTTGGGAGTGGCCAGCCATCGGCGTTGTTGTGGCCATTCGGACGAGGAAGACGCCAATCCAGGCAACAGTAATCTACTTCTACTAGACGCAGCAACCCTATGGGCCATGCGGTGCAGAGTGGTGCTGTAGATGGAGCTCATGCTGACCAGAGAATGAATAGCTACAAACCACACTCTGTGGTGAGAAAAGCTGCCGCTGTCGCCTTGAAGATCTTGTGGTGCCATGGTCGTCCTTCGCGCTTCGCGCGTCACTCTGGATCACGAATTAGTCGTGATTAAAAAGCTAGCTGTACAACCCACGCACCGAGGAAGGCATCGACGGGAGAGACAGCCAAAACTCAAACCCACATACACGATGGAACTGTTTGCCTTCTCGTGGCAATAGCCAGCCATTCAGTTGCATTCAGGTAGCATTTCAAATCCTTTCCATGATTCCCTTCCCTTGCAGTTGTTTTGGTCTAGTTTCAACTCATTCCCATGACTCTTCGCCTCCTGGCTTGGATTTCTAGTAGTAAACGTTCTGACACAAGTAACTTTGTGTGTACAATCAAAAGAAACTACTTTTTGAGAAAAGAGGATGTTCCTCTATGCTTGCATATGAACTCCTTATGCATGGTCTTGGTATTTCACACACAACCTTGAACTGTGCAACCCCCCACACCCACCCAACCCCTCCTCCTCCATACAACCCCCCACCCGACAACCAACCAGCCAACTGCCGATTGTGAGCAATGAGCAGTGGTGGCTACTTTGTTCATTCTTTCCTCTTTGACCTCAACAACCTTTTCCGTGGACTACCCTCGCCACCATGCATCTCCGTCACACGTTTTCTGCCTGCCTCAATGGGTGCTCTCAGGTTTACCGACCTTTCCAGACTTTGCAATTTTCCAACAAGTCATGTCTGTTCCTAGTAGGACCCAGAGGGTTGGCTCTCCCAGCATTGGTTTGATTGTGTCCACGCACCTTGCCTTGCAGCACCCACTTTCCAAAATGCACTATCTGCCTCATCATATTGTACGGTACCCAGCTTTTACATCTGAAACTATCCGATCCTGTTCAAGTGCTCTAGGATAGCTAGTTGGCAAATGTTTCCCTCTAATAGCCAGTTTCTTTGGCATAGTTACAAAGTGCTGGTTGTGTATTGACTAGCTATGGTAGCTACCGTGGCTACCGGTACAGCGTTTGGGGTTCGTTGTTTAGCATTATTTTTATTTTATTGTTTTTCCAAAAGATCCACTCTCTCGCCTCTCGTGCAAGAGTGTCATTGCGAAAGAACCTCTCTTGATTCGATTCGATTGTCCATCAAAGCCAAATCCAATACTCCTACATACCGTACTTTCCAACCATGACGACTACTGCTCCCGCTTCTGCTTCTAGCGGTACTGCTCCTGCTACCGGTAGCCCACGCGTCTTGCGGACTACGTTCCACTTCCAAGCCGAAAAGCAAAAGAAAGAATTCAAGGCGAAAGTCTTTGCCAAGACTTTCCTCATGGGGACGCATCTTCGTGCCGGGGCCAAGAGTCCGGTGAAGGTGTTGCAGGGTCAGCATGGTGATATTTTGAACCAGATTTGTGACTATGCTTCGCCTTTGCCGAAGGAACGCGACTTTTACTACAAAATGGGGCTATCAATGTGCGTTGGGACGGAGCATGTGTTTGTGGAAGAATTGGAGCAACCGGAGAAACTGATGAGTCCACAGTACACGTTGTGTTCCCTCAACAGCCAGCCGATCTGCGGTGCGTTCAATTGCAAGCCTCTTCTTGTTGATTTTTTGAAAAAATTCGCTTGCAAAAAGAACACGGCAGAGAATGACAATGACAATGACGACGACAGCTGTTTCTGGAATGAGGGACAGTTGCGTGCGGCGTGGAAGGACTTTGCAGTGGAACGCTTTTGTGATCGTCCCAATGGCAACTGTAGAGGGCTTTGCTGTGTGATTTCGGGAGATACGATCGCCTGGGGCTATGGGGGCATGAATCTCTACCCCGTGGCTCGCATGTGGAAACCCGCTACTCAAGCTGATTTGGTGGAACGTGGCTTTGTCAACCCCAAGCATCCAGGAAACTCAGGCAAAGGCATTTTGTGGCAATACGCCAAGATTGCTCGTGATGATCCGAAGCAGTTGGAGGATGAAGATGAAAACAAAGAAAACGAGGGTGGAGATGGCAACAACTGAGGGAGCTGTTCCGTTTCGCTGAGCTTTTGCAACACTATCCGGCTGCGGTAGCTGGGTTCGCAGTTGCAGAGGAAACAAATAATGATGAGTGTTACGGGCTGGTGAAAATCTCTTCGCTCAAGGCACTCTCTAAAGTATGGATTCAATGACTCTCGATCCGCTGACGGAATAAAAAAACCGTGTAGTTGCTGACTCCTACCAAAATAGTTTTATGATTCGATTCGCTATCATCTACAACACTCTAGCGTCGTGCTGCATTCTGCTAGTATAGTCTGAGCCCCAGTGCTGTTGCCCGTACAAAGATCTGCTGGAATCTCACCCGAAATGCCAGTGTCGGAAATATCCAGAAAGGTTAAGCTATGGATCTCTTCCAGTTCGTTCGGTAACCTTCCGCTGAGCCGCTCATTTCCCGACAAGTCCAGAGCCCCCAGAGAGGAAAGATGACCTATCTCGGATGGAAGGGTTCCTGAAAATGCATTCTCTGAAAGATCCATGATTTGCAGCTCGGACAATACTTCCATCCCTCTGTTTGCTATCGTACCATCAAAACTGTTGCCTGAAATATTAAGGATCTCCAAAGCCTGGATGGGGGTGGGGTAGTCCAGCGAGAGAGGTTGTGTGAGTGTGAGGGAGCAAACTTCTTGAAACATACACAGCCAACATGGAACTCACGGGAAAGGCGGGCAAGTAAAACGGGCCAACAAAGTTGTTTCCGTCAATCTCAATAATGCGCAAGCTGGTGACTTCGAAACCTTGCTCTACAACCAAAGGACCATCCAGGCTGTTGTTGGACCAACGAAACACCTCAATGATGCTGGAAGACGCCAATGGAGGGAATTGGCCGTGGACGTTGTTGTGGGAGTGGTCGAAATATACGATAAAGGGGCACATGAAGGCCTCTCGAGGAAGAGATGACCCGCCTAGGTTGTTACGTCGCAAATCCTCAATGCGCATGTGGCCATCTTCGTTGCAGATTATGTCTGGTTCCTCGCTAGAAGTATACCATGCACACTCATGTATGCCATAGCTCATCCAATGGTCATTTCGTAACCAGTTGGGGCCATCCAGGGCAAAGAATTTGACTCCCAGAGCAAATCGTTGGTACTTTCTCCATCGGGGATACGAATCCAGGTTTGGGTCGTTGTACAGCCAAGCGTTGGCCATTGCTTGCGGGCCAGTGGGATTCCGTTGCATCGCCCGGATGGTCCACGGTGGATAGTCCTCAAGAACCAGAGGCACCTGCAGATTATCGCTGGTATCAGCGGACTCCGTTTGAATTGGTACAGTGGTAGCATTGCTATTATCGCTTTGACTGTCGTCTGGTGGTTCCTCTTTCTTGTTGGTCGATAAAACCACCACAGCAACAAACGCAGCCACTGCCAAAATCAGACACAATATCAACCACATCCAAACATAGAGTCGACTCGGTGCCACCGCTGTTCTCTTGGAAGATGCCACCGATACCACTTCCAAAGCTTCTTCAAGACACAGCTGTGCTTGGAGATCCTGCTGCTCGGACTCAGTCTGTGACCTGACTAGAGAAGCGATTATAGGCGTTTCAAGTAGCGGGTTTTCGTGTCCTTGCTGCTCCGGATCCTGTCCGCTGGTGGCAATACCACCATGGGTATCGCCTATGGTTGTATCCGTGTTCTCGCTGCCGCCAATCCCATCCACTGAAAATGCTCCAGGCACATCTGCGATAGAGCAAGAGGTCACTCTCCGGATAAGTTCTGCATCTGATTCTGAACAATCCCCTGCTGCTCTCTCTGACTGAAACAGCTCCTCGCTGTATTCCCCACTGGTAGAAGTAAAATTGGCAGTAGCCTCCTCCTCCAATTGATATTGAGCAAGCTTTTTGTGTTTTTCTTCTGATTGTAGCCTTTTCGCAAAGCTTTCATCCCGGTGATATGCTACTCGCTGCTGTACAATCCCAATAGCCACTTTGCTGGAATCCTGAGTAGTAGTGCTCACATTGGCTGTGGCCTCCTCTGTTTTGTGCTTTTTCTGGTCCTCTTCTGATTGTTGCCTTCTCGCAAAGCTCTCGTCCCGGTGATATGCCAATCGCTGTTGCACAATCCCTATGGCAAGCTTGCCCGAATCATTCATTGAACTCCTATCAGACCCGGTCAGGGCTCTTCCAGCTACCGTCTCCCTCTCGGCGATGTCGGTTGCTCGACAGTCATTGGGATCTTCCTGATCGCATGAACAACCCTCAGTTCCCTTTTTCAGATCTCCTTTGGCATTCGGTGGTGGTTTGCTCATCTCCTATACTTGCTTGCAACTCGCAATGGGTTGAAGAGTCTACCTACGGGCATGGGGGCTCTGCCTCTTCTCATCTTCTACTAGCTAGCTTTCTGCATGGTTGGGCCAGGCCGAGCGGCGAGCTGTGGCCTTGGTGTCGGGTGGTACCGAAAGTGACACCGTAATTTGGCAAGACCTCTGTGGAAACGTCATTCGTGGCAAAATACTTAGGAGACGATACACCGAGGAATAGGAGACGATCGAAATGATTTAAGAGACGAAAGCAATCGTCTCCTATATTTAGGAGACCATTCAGTAGGAGACATTCCAATTAGGAGACGAAAATTTCGAAATAGGAGACGATCTGAAAGATTTAGGAGACGATACCATACAGTTTACATGGTACACTTAGGAGACGATCCGTTGAGATTAGGAGACGATCCGTTGAAAATAGGAGACGTTTTAAGAGGAGACAAAAGATTTAAGAGACGATCCGTTTCGTCTCCTATTTTTAGGAGACGAAATCCATTAAATAGGAGACGATCAAAAGGATTTAGGAGACGAAAAGTAGCACGACTCGAGTTTCCACAGAGGTCCAGGGCGGGTGTCGGCAACGAATACAGAGAACTGTTTTTTAAATGTTTAGCCAAGTCAGTTGCCTTCATACTTCATAAGCGTGATTGTTAAATCTCTGGACTGTAGGAGCTACTCTAAGTATGATTGCGAAAAGGCGACACCGGTACCAGCGTTCACTGGAGTACCGTACCGGTACGAGCTGAAGGTGCCAAGCTGCATGTTGTTTCATGCATGCAGTCACCATACACATGTACCGTACTACGCTGCGTCGAAGGCCATGGACGAACCCACAGAGACTTCTTGTTGGGCGGATGTATGTTGGTGTGGACCTTGCCAGGGGATGACTTGGAGTGGGACCTGGAGTACGGTGGGTCCAGGTGTCGATGGTCCAAGCGCAGCCAATTCCTGCTCATGGAAGACCACGAGCAGCCAATGTTACTCATGTACCCACTAGCTACATTAATTTTATTTGGTCAGATAGTTGGCATCTTTGGGGCAGGATGGTTTCAGGTGGCACTAGCCAGCTACATACCTTTCCCTTTCTTTTGATTTTTGCTTAAAGGTCAAACCTCCCTCGATATTTAACGGAATAGGGATGTTTTGTAAGGTCAAAACGTGTTGGATTGAAGTGGAGAAGTCACTTCATGCTGCTTCGTGCTGCTTGAGAAGCAGAGGATTTAACGTTTAGTACCGCATGGCTAAGGTCAAAACACGTTTGGGGCCCTGGTGATAAGAAAGTATCAGAAAAAGAGGAAAGGTAAGATGGTAAGTATCCAGAGGAACATTACACGACATGCCCCAGCAAGCGCTCATTCCTATGCAACAGCACCGCTCTCTCCTCTAGCTAGCCAGGAGTTTCGGGCTTGGACAAAATCGGTCCTACAGAGTGACTGTGTGAGTCGAGTCGAGTCGAGTAATCGACAGCGGGTCAACAGCACCACAATGTAGCAGGCCCACCCACTTCCGCCTAAAAATTTAGTCATCACCAATGAGGTGGCGGACACGGTATACGGTATACAATGTGCACATGTGGCCAGCCCAAACGGTATACCGTTTACCGCAGTTTTTCTCTTTGAAATTTTTGTAAAGAGAATTCAACACGGTTTACCGTGTACCGTTTCAATTATTTTGTGTACTGTTTACCGTTTACCGTTTATCTGCTGTGGCTTTGGGTTGTGCCTTGCTTCTTTGGAGACATTGCAGGAGGGAGGATACCATATATTGTATATCGTAAATCAACTTTAAGTTGTAAAACCGTAAACCGTATATCGTACACAGATATTGTCCTCTTTTGAACAAGTCAATGTATGAACGGTAAATGGTAAACAGTAAATTGTTCCCACGATGAACCGTAAACGGTATGGGCAGCAGGAAACTACATTGATCAAACTGTATGCAATACAGTACAGATCAGAATTTGACTTTTACAGTGGAAGCACTTTGAATCAAGCAGCTTCCTCTTGTGGAGTAGTGGTAGATGGTATGACCACTACTAGCTAGTAGTAATCACAAGGAGATGGCAACAACAACAACACTGTTTGCTGTTGATGCAGAGGACTTGTGTTTTTTTCTTCTTCTTCCTTGATTGAGTCACTAGTAGCAAACCAAGACTAAACTGGCTAGCTACATTGTGGTGCTGTTGACCCCCTGTCAAGGCTTGGTACAGCGTAGGTCGCTGCTCGCTGCGTCGCTGTGGACCTTCTTGAGCATGACCATCTTTTCATTCACCCACGCTTTGGATAAATAATAATGCTCTCAGCCATGGTAAGTTTACCTATCAAAAAAGGTTTAACTGCTGCATGACTCGTATAATGTCAAGTCAATAATCTTACGTCATCACGCTTGACACCACTTGGCATGGCCAACGGTACTCGAGCGACCTTCCGGCTGTCTGAAGCACGATCCCACCTTCCCTTTGCAAGCAAGAGAAGCATCACTCAACGACCATTGCAATGGCACAATCCACAAGCGCAAGAAAAACCGAAACCATTCTCACTTTGATTTGTCTGCATCGCGCACTCATTGTAGATTTTTGCTCTACTAGCTAGATGGCATCCTTATTAGAACTCACAACATCTAACAACAACAGTGTGGGAGAGGCATCGATCTTGCCGTTGACTCTGCAGCCGCAAGACTCTGTTCCTTGTCATCAAGAAGCCTCTTCGGCCAAAAAGTTCTTTCAAGCTCTTCTGCACAGTCGAATACCTAGCTGCAAGATGGCTGACGCTGCTTTTCCGCTGGAATCTGCAACCCCTCTGTGGATCAGCATATGCGGCAAGATGGCGCCCATCTCCTCGATCATGCTATATCTTGCGGTAAGCTTGTTTGTATGCCATGGCAGTCTTGGGTGCTGTCACCTTAGTCTTCTCACATTGTTGCTTGGCATCTCTTTTCGCTTGTTCTATCATAGCCAATACCTACAGTCCAAGAATTCTCAAGACGGCGGCTTGTGGGAGATCTACCACTGCTGCCGTATACATCTATGCTGTCCAATTCCTTTGCCTGGGTGATCTACGGTATGTTGCGACTCACAAAGAATTTCTGACACAAGAGGGCTTGTTGCGAGGACTGCATCTCATTCTTGTTGCTGTTTCGTTCTATGATACAGGGCTACTAGTATCGGAACCCAAACTGTGGACCGCCAATGGTGTGGGCCTTGGGCTGAGCCTCTACTACTTTCTCTCCTTTGCTCGCTTTTCTCCCGAGGGCGCTGCCTCCTTGCCCGGGACACTGGAACAACACATACAGGGTTTCGTCTCCATTCTGGCATTTGTTTTATGGATGGCCAAATCCAAAAAGGCGGGACCGATTGGCAAGTTGGGTGTCGCCATCAACTTGGCCATGTACGCCAGTCCCTTGGCCGCCATTCAGGCCGTGCTGGAAACCAAGTCGACCGAAGCCATTCCGCTTCCACTGACACTGGCGTCGCTGGTGAGCTGCGTCTTTTGGACCATTACGGGCTATCTGGAAATGCACGATCCTTACGTGTGGATCCCGACAGTATTTGGAATTGTCTTTGGCATTATGCAGGTGGGCCTGAAAATTGCGTTCCACACCGAACGAGCCGCAATCCACAATCTATCACCCGATATTCATTCACAGCAAGCGGTGCTGAACCAGCTTTCCTAGGCGACAAAATAAGCAAGCCAGAGAGCTTTGCTGGAGGTTATCCGCATTGATTCATTCATTCGCCTTTTCCTACCGTATCATAACTGGGCTAGCAAACGATCGATTGGTACCGAAGCCGGGACAGATATAGGTCCCCGTGACGAGCTGCGGTACTGTCGGATCACCGAACCCGCCTTTCATTCGAACAATCAGCTACTTTTGACAACTGCAATTATTGTCACGCGATGCATAGCACTATAAGCAAATTATTGCTTAACTACACGCTCCATTCCATTCCATGCATCTCCGTGACAACTTTTGTAGCTCTTTCGTTATGCTTCCGAGACAGCTTCACATACATGCATGTTGGTACCGGTACAGCGCACATTGCAGCCAATATCGCATACGGGATAGGCGACCTTGACGCATTTTGCAACCTTGAATCTCTTGTTTTTGTTGGGACTCGTTGCTCGTAGTTGGGCGCTGTCTCTGCTAAACGGATCGAACGGGATAGAGCAGTAGATGCCTCTCAATGGTGCCCCTATCGTGTTAGTGGAGACTACCAAGCTACAACGGTCGGCAGAAGACGACATCGTCGGCAGGATTATCAGATTCTTACATTAGTGCTCTTAGCTAGCGCTACACCATTTTATCCCTTCTTTTTAGTTTTTGCTTTCCGATCTCCTTGGGCTTTTTTAAGCTTGGATTGGAGTGCCGAAGATGCTCGAGTGTTCTTCTCTTTTTCTTGGGGTGGTGGCTTGGCAATGAGTATTCCGTTGATAACCGTTTTGTAATTGTTGCCCTTTCCAAACACTTGTCTACCATGGGACGTCTGAACCTTCTCAATCTGTTTATCGAGGAAGGCCATGTCGTCTAAATCGCCCAAGCCGACATCCTCGTCTTGCTTTCCATTCTTGGGGGGCGGCTTCTTGCCTCCAAGTTTTTGGCCCTTTTTCTTGTTCTTTTTCTTCTTGGCACTGGAGGTCGTTGACACAGCCTGGGCATTGGTCTTCTGCTTTTCCTTTTCACGTTGCTGACGTTCTCGGGCCAAGTCAGCAAGCAAATTGTTGGAAGCAGCTTCGTTGCTCTCAACAGCTTTCTTTTCCGCTGCGCCAGATTCCTCTTCGGGGTCAGATTCGCTGTCGTCATCGTCGTCATCCACTGCAAGAGCTGCAAATGCTGTCGAGGTCTTCACGGGTACCAATGTCGGTTCCCTCGTTTCTGCCTCTGTCGCTTTTGGTGTCTCAGGCACCTTTGGAGGGACTGGTTGCGCCTTTTCAATCTTCAGAATGATCCTTCGTTTGTCTCCCTCGCCCTCACTACGATGACCAAGACCAATCTGTTCTGCGAACTCGTGAACAACGCGCCTATCAAAGCTGGTCAGCTCCGTACTCAGGGGCATCTCCTCGCCTAACTTGCCAACTTCTGCAAAGTGAGCAATCTTATCCAGCATCTCCTTCCGTTTGCCATCGTCATCCGACAAACGTGGTTCCTCTTCCTTTGGTTTGGATGGCTTGGCCTTTTGTTCATCCTTGGCGAGCTGAGCCATGGCCTTTTGCAATTCAATTTCAGCATCACGAAGATCATTGTTCATATCGTTGTTGGATCCAGATAGGATATCCAGCGCAGATCGCTGCTCTCCATGCTCTTCCATCCAAGTAATCAACCCTTTGACGAACTGGCTTTGCGAGACTGTTTCGGTATCACAGATCACAGCACAGTGCCTTTTGGCTCTTGTGACAGCTACGTTCAGCCTGCGATTGTCTCTCAGGAAGCCGATCCCGTCACCTTTCTTCCCTCCACTTCGATCGCTACTTCGCACCAGACTAAGCACTACAGCTTCTCTTTCTCCTCCTTGAAATCCATCCACGCTGTAGACAGGGACAAGATGAGTTCCATGGCTCCACTAGCTTGTTCGCTAGCTAGTGCGCAACAATGAAATTTTACTTACCTGCGAATCTCCAGTTTGGGGTGGTCCGGAAGCAGAATCGTACGTAGTAGTTCGACTTGGCCATTGTAGGGAGTGATAATGGCAATCTGCTCTTGTCGCAATCCCTTGTCGAGAAGTACTTGAACATGATGTGCCACTATTTGTGCCTCTCCTTCATTGAATCGCGACCCCGAAGAGCTCTCGGATTCATGCATCCCACAACCAGCGGTATCCATCAACAACAGGGCAACTTGGGAAACAACATCGTCGTCATCATCATCTTTGCCATTGTCGTCGTCTGCTGCAGTATGCTGCTGCGCGTGTACCAGCTGTCCAATGGTGCGATGTCGGACACTCTCATGCGTCAATAGCTCTCCATGGTAGGACGCCTCACTGGCCCAGTTGGAAATCTTCTCGTGCATCCGGTATTGGATCTTGAGCATGCGGGAGACTTTTGGTGGTTGTCGTTTTTCTTCTTGTTCTGCCTTTTTCTTGCCGTCATCCCCATACAGCTTCATGAGCCTTTCAAACAGCGTCTTGCCCAGTCCAGCTTGTACTTTGGAATGTTTGCACATGATGGTGGGTGGCAATTGACAATGATCCCCCGCCAGCACCAGTTTTCGTCCCTTGAGAATCGGAATCCAACAGGAGGCTTCCAGGGCTTGTGCGGCCTCGTCAATAATGACCAAATCAAAGCCACATTTATTATTGTTGTTGTTGTTCTTGGCGGGATCCGTGATTGTTCTCAAAAGCCGCGACGCCGCTCCCACGGTTGTCGCCAAGACGACTTGTGCCGTTTGTATCAATTCTTGAACGACCTTTTCTTCTCGCGTTCGGACTTCTTTGCGCAGCGATTTGACTTCTCGATATGCCATTCGTTTGTCATTGCCACGACTTTTGGGGTTTGTCAAGATGCGCAAAAAGGATTGCAGTTCGGTTCGGACATCTTTGACAATCTCGGTTCCTTCGTGCGATTGCACCAATGCTTCCAGACTGTATGACAGAATGGAGGGTTGGATGCGTGCGGGATGCCCGAGACGAACCATTCGTAGGGGTTTATTGTTGTGGTTGTTGTTCTTGTTGTTTGCCTTGGCTTTTCGTTTTGGTGGATTGGGCCCACTATTTTTGGACGCCAGTCGTTCCAAGACATTGTCGACAGCGACATTACTGGGAGCCGTCACCAGAACTCGCATGCCATGGTGATGTACAGCTTGTTGAATGAGTTCGGCAACCGTGGTAGTCTTACCCGTGCCGGGAGGGCCATGTATACATGCGACGGGTCTTTCTTGTTCCAGGCAAAAGGCAATCGCTTCCAACTGACTGGCATCGAGGTTTTCATTGAATGGTGGTTGTTGTTCCTTTTGTTGTGGTGGAGGTTGTGTTGTTGTGGGTGGTTGAAAGAGAGCCTGAATGAGTTTCCCTGCAATGGGATGGTTGGGTCCGTGTCGTTCGAGGTCTGCCAAACCAGCCACTAGCTTTTTGTGTACTTCCACACTGCTCTTGGGAATCAGTGTGAGAGTGCCCATCAATCCATCTTCTTCTGTTTCATGGTGGTTGTCGTCTTTTCCTCCTTTATTGTTGTTTTTGTTATTGTTTTTGTTGTTGTCTTTGGGATTCTGAATGGATTGCTGAAACAGTGCCACGGAAATGCTGGTATCCGTCACGGCACTAATCACTCCACCCGTCACGGCGTGCTTTTTCTGCTTGGAATGGATTTCCACATCATCTCCCACAGTGAATCGATGGGCGGGAAGCAACGAAGAACTGTTGTTGCTGTTGCTGTCTTTCAGCGCCGTCAATTGAACCACGGTTCGACCGTAGAGACCGACGGAAATGTCCGAGGCTTCCAGTTGGCTAAGAGCCACGGTTCGTTGACTACCGCCGTTCTCCACACCAACTTCATCTTGTTCCGAATTGAGTTCCAATTCCAACAACTCCTTTTGATGCCGGACAAACTCGCGAATCACAGAGTCTGTCATGGTGCTCCTCGAACAAAAATATATTCGGTAGATCTACTTGTGATGGCGATGATGAATATGTATGATGTGGGAGATCCTTGTCGATACGTCTGGATCGATTGGAGTGCAGCACTTTTCTGGGGAATAATCCTTCACTTGTCTCTTTCTTCCACGCTACGGCAAGCTCTGACAGAGCACGAGGGTACAGCACTATCTATCTACGCACTTGAGGTGGATCTGATCTATCTAGCTGCAAAGAACAAACCACAACACCATTGGCAACGAACAACGGCAACCACGGCAGAGTGATGTGCCATGGTCGTTGTCTGCATGTCTGTCAGCTGGCAAGGCCAAGATTTCGATGAGTCACTACCCAAGCGATCCACTGAGCGTCCTCCATAAAAGAGGAGGGCGACCCTCTTTTTTGGTTGGTTTTGAAGGAAGGCGCGAACTCCATGGCGGTAGCATTGAGCATTTCCTTGAAGAAGCATGGACAAGCGATTGTATTGCAAAAGCATATTCTTGAGAGATTAAGTGATTGTTCAAGCAAAAGCATCACTATCCGGTTAACTAAAGTGATACGCTACGCTACTTGGGATTGATCCTATTATTAATCCTTCTACGATAATCCTTTCTCCATCGAGCAGTTAGTTGAACCATGTTTCTCTTTTACTTTGTCAAACAAGTATTGCTACCCAAATTCATGGCGGTCTGCGAGTGCTTGGCTCCGCTTTCTTCCGTACTGGTATTCTTGGCTGTGAGTATTGTACTGCATTGATCGATTCGGAATATACTCAAGTGCTTTCCATTGGAGTGGCAATGTCTCTTGACTGACATGTTTGTTTTTCTTTGTTATCTGCAGCCCATTCCAACAATTCTTCAGGTTTACAGAAATGGAACGGTCGGAGATTTGCCTCTGCTGCCATACACGGCCATGCTCAACAATGCATTTCTTTGGTTTATCTATGGTAAGCAGTCAGATGTTATAGTAGTATCAAGTAGTGTGTGAATGGAGTTTCTTCTTCTTGTACTGTCGCATGTGGCACTAGTAGCCTTCCCACCATGATGCATGTCTCATAATGTTCTATGTTCTTCTTCTTGGATGGACTTTTTTCCTGTCAGGATTCCTGAATGACGAACCCAAGATATGGACTTCCAATGCGGTCGGTTTCTTTATCGGATGCTTTTACTTTTTGGAATTCATCCGCTTTGCACCCAAACGATCTCGAACGCTACCTGGATCCATCACGCAACACTTTCACTTTTGCTTTGCACTGGTTTTGGGGACGCTGCTCTTGGCACTGATTGATACCTCGGGGGCTGTTATTGGACATTTGGCAGTGTTGTTTTGTGTCGCCATGTTTGCCAGTCCACTGGCAGCATTGCCCACCGTCATGGAAACCAAGTCTGCCAAAGCCATTCCCATGACGTACACGGTGGCCGTCCTGGCCAACTCGATTCTATGGACCATTGTGGGAATTCTGGATATGCACGACGTAAGTAGTAAACATCACCATCAATGGACGCAGTTATTTCTTATGACGAGTGATCCCAATGACGATGAAAACTCACCCACTCTCTTCCCATCAAACTACAGATTAACATTTACGTCCCGACCACTTTGGGTTTGGGCCTCAGCGCACTACAGATTGGATTGAAAGTCAAATATGGGAACGGACCTTCCGATCTCTTGTCACCAACCACAATGGGAACCGACCTGTACAGCCCTGTTTTACTGTATAGTCCCTAGCCTACTGTACGGTATCTACTCCTCATGCTGGTACTTATTACCTATTACCGGTACGGTATGTGGTTATGTTTCATAAGAATAGATTGCTTTGCTTGCTTCTTAGATTAATTCTTGCGCTGCTTGCTAGCCAGTGCTAACGGTACCCTTCCAATGTGCAGGTAAATTCGCTACTGGCCAGGAACTAGCTACCCGTAGCTTCGACTTTCTATGGACATTGGACGACCACATTTCTTGGTGCGAGCTAGCAACAGAAGATAACCGAAGCAGGATAGCGAGAAACCTTCTTCAAGTTTCACTGCACCTTACCGGTATGACATTTTGCCCCTGCGGCTTGGCTGCTCAGTTGACACCTGCTGAATGCTACGTGAGCCATATTTCGTGCGAGGGATCTTCCCTGTGTTACATCACATGACAACTAAGGGGAAGCTAGAAAGGACAGACATCGCACAGAACCTTCACAAACTGGATAGAAAAAAAAATGAGGGTGGCCCCGCAAGCTCGTCCGCTCCCGGACATACTTGCCGTGAAGGCTGAAACTTATAGCTTCTGCTTTTATGGGAAGGACCCGTCAACCAGAGCGTTCCTGTTTACTAGCCGGACTGACCCAGCCAATGTGATAGTCTAGTCAAGGCCCAACCACGCGGAAAACAACCTTCACCCTGGCTGGCACCGGTAGTCACACTTGCAATCTTGTAACTTGCAATGATACCAAGCGGTACCGTACCGGTACACAACGATAATGAGAACGCAGACAAGGATTTAGAGTGACAGTCCTGCGAACCACTCCCACACCACGCGTTCGCCGAGTACCAGGTACAGAGGACCGCACCGCAACAGCCAGTCACGACGGCCTCGGTGTTGGTTTTCGCCACACCAGGTAGCAACTCAACCAGCTCCAGAGGAAGGCCCGTTTCAGAACAAGAATCCTTTCCACATCTCACAATTCAGCAACAGCAGCCGCAAAAAGAAACAAACAAGAAAACAAAAGATGTCGTGGTACCCAACCGAAGCAACTGGCGTTTGCCTCAAGCAATCTCTTCGAAACAATGCTACGTACGAGGATTTCACCTGTGTGTACCCTACCCTTGGGAAGACCTATTTTGACTGGGAGTTTCCATCTCATGGTGCTGCCAATGTGCTAACCTTCATGGAAAACAACAACTGGCTCCCAATTTTGACTGTGGCTTTGTATGCACTTGCAATCTTTGCTGGCCAGAAATACATGGCCAACCAACCTGCCTGGGACTGGCGATACAGGCTGGCCGCTTGGAACCTTTTCTTGGCAGTCTTTTCTGCTGCTGGATTCTTCCGCATGGCACCACACCTGCTTCACAATCTATGGCACTATGATTTCAAGACCAACGTATGCACTGATGGGTTAACACTTGCTGGATTTGGACCAACAGCATACTGGGGTTTGATCTTTGCTTGGAGCAAGTTTTTCGAGCTCTTCGATACCTTTTTCATTGTTGTTCGCAAGAAGAAGTTGATGTTTCTTCACTGGTACCATCACATCACTGTCTTGCTCTGCTGCTGGCATACCGTTGTTAGCAAAACACCAGCTGGTTTCATTTTCTCTGTTGTCAACTATGGTGTGCACATGGTGATGTACGTCAATGAATCCCTTTTGTCATCTGTGCCTCCCAAGTTTTGAAATCTCAACACTTTTGTTCTCCAATCTTTTCTTTGTATTAGGTACTTCTACTACTTTCTTATGGCAATCAGGTGCAAGCCCAAGTGGTTCAACCCTCAGGTAAGCGTGCGGGCCGGGCCGAAAAACCATCCAGTTGGACATCCAGTTTTCATCTAACTGACATTTTCTGGTCTATTTGTTAGGTTATCACCGTTGCCCAAATCCTTCAGATGGTTGTTGGAGTCAGCGTTTGTGTTCGGGCTTACTCCTGGGCCAGTGAAGATGGATGCCACGCTAGTGCAACCAACATCAAGGGTACTTTGCTGATGTACGCCAGCTATTTGTATCTTTTCTGTGAGTTCTTTTTCAAGCGCTACATGATCACGACCAAGCGAACAAAGACAGCCTAGAAAGGGCAAGAGAGTGCGCGACAACAGTCAATCTTCCACCAGCGGATGGCCTTGAATGGTAGCGGACCAACCCTGTTACAATACGAGTCAGTAGTGAATCACAAAGAGTAGAAAAAGCAACTTTTAAACCATGCATTCAGTTCAACAGCCAGTGTATGTAGGTATCACTAGCTCAGGAGGACGTCGCCGCACCAAGTGATTGTCAAGAAGCTGATCAGCTGGCTGGCTTGAAATCCGCCTTGCTATGGCAGTAGTGTCAAGTGTGCTTTACCGGTGCCACCACATGGTCGGTACGTACAAGAATCTTTTTGGTCAGCACGTGCCGGTAATCCTCCAGGCCCGCCGTACCAGTTTTGGTCGGCACGATTGGTACCATCTTCTGGCTACTGGCTAGCCAATAGTACTGTAGACGCACGGCTCATGTTCCCTTCCTGCTCCTCGAGAAGAGGGGAACGGTGCGTTGGTCGAATCTTTCCTGTTCCTTCCTCCAGTATTTTCTCAAGAAGCCTTATCAGCCTTTGACGCGCAATAGAGGTAATGAGGAAGCGCACTCCCAACGCCCTTCACTCAGCAGCCAGCCAACAGCGAATTAGGTTCTTACATGTACGGAAATGTATTCTTATGCAGATTTATTCTCACGTTTGATGACTACAGATACAAACTGTTCCTTTTCTCCGCTCTTTCCAAACGACAAAGTTTTCGTTGTACAGCTAGCCCCATCGACATGCATCACAAACAATGATGACGTGAGCACGGATCCTATGAGATGATTGTTGAGTTCATCATTCCATGGAGGCTTTGATGATTGATTTGGCATTATCAGTCTTCAGTTCGACTAGGAGCTCTTCACTTTCTTGCCAACGAGGTATCGGTTAACAAAGAATTGCATGAAAAGGGCAAGATAGCTGGCATACATGACCAAACCGGCAACGATAACCCTCTTGTCTACAAATGATCCACGGTGTTTGGCCAGGTGCCAAGATTGTGTGCACACCCTGACACCCACAACCATTTGCAAAATCTGTACCACAGTGATGATCTGAACAAAACGTTGCGTCAGTCGATGTCTAAAGTTACAGAACAGACAACAGGAAACCAACACAGTACTCACCTGGGGATTGAACCACTTGGGTTTTCTCTTGACGGCCATCAAGTAGTAGTAAAAATACATGATGCTGTGAACACCATAGTTGACAACGCAAAAGATAAGACCCATTGGTTGGTATGTGACCCAGCTGTGCCAGCAGAACAGAAGGACTGTAATGTGGTGGTACCAATGCAAGAAAAGCAGCTTCTTCTTGTGGACCACAATGAACATGGTATCAATGAGTTCCACAAACTTGCTGAGAATAAAGGCAAAGACCCAGAGGCAGCTGCTTCCTTGCCCTACAGCGCTTAAAGGGTAAGAGTCAAGGGTGTTTTCCCAACCATAGTGATAAAGATTGTGGGCCAGCTGCGGGGCAGTTCGGGTAAATCCCGCAAAGGAGAAAATTGCCAATCCCAGGTTCCAAGCTGCCAAAGCTTTCCGCCAGTTCAAGGGAGGTCTGTTGGCAAAGTATTTCTGCCCCAAAACAATAGCCAGCCCATAGAGGACACATGTAACGTAAGGCACCCAAGGATTGTGTCTCATGAAATCCCAAATCTGTTCATGAAGCTCTGTCATGCCTCTCTTTTCCCATTCAAAGTATGTCATTCCATAAGTTGGATAAAGGCATGAAAGCTCTTCATATGGTGCACTCGCTTTCTGTCCAACACGAAGACACTCTCCAGCCTCATCCACCGGGTACCAAACCATCTTGATGTTGGCGTGGAGGCCGGTGTTCGCCAAGGTGCTGTTGACATCACTGAATAAGGATTCCATCATCGTAGCCATGTTGCCCGTTGCTTGTTCAGAAGATCAGCGACAAATAAATGAGCCGTCCCTGGGACTATCAATTTACTGAGATGGCCTCCACCACTTGTGGAAGAAGCCTTGGATATGGATTTTGGATCGTGATGCCTTGTTGTTTGTTGGGCTTGATGTCTTCCGTACAACAACAGGGGGTGTCTTCATCGTCACCAGTCCCAACCAAAGTTTGAGTGTCCTCTGTGCAACTTTGGGTCTGCGAACACCAACCGATTCCTCTTTTTTCAACAGTCGTGCATGATGAAGTCTGTTCAAGTCTGCGAGCGTAAAGTAAGAAGCGGTATGTACTGTGACCATGGTACCAGTCTAAATGTACCGGTACCAGTACTCAGTGGTACAGGACCGTACTAGTACGGTACTACATTTTGGTACTACGGTATGTAGCGGTAGCAGGTGGTACGGGCGGTACCGGTACGTGTATTTCAGGGGAAAAAATCTTTCCGGCTCGCTGGCTTGCTACGGTCAGGTACAATGTACAGTGACTGTACCTTCCCAGACGCTTCCAAGGCCGCTTCTGTGCATGGTCCCAGTACGGATACCGTAGACACCAGTCTGCTTGGCGGCGTCTTCCTGCTTTGAGCCTTGGTCCAATCGTAAACTCACTTTATCATGCATCAAGCAAGATAACCCATGCATGTCACATCCTTACTGTTTCTTTCGTGGTTGCTCCTACGGTATGTCTCCGCCCGATTGAGCATTGCCCTGGTCGAGCAGCTAGCTACAATGCGCCTTGGCGGTTTCCATGTTCCTGCTTCTGGTGGGACTATGAGCTCCCGGCATTGGGACTATCCTGGTGCCCCGGATCTCTATCGCCGTTCTTTGACCTCTGGTCCATTCGCCTTTCCCTGACCCTCCTTGTTCCGCCCTCATTAGACTTTCCTTTTTCTCCTCCGATCCTCGGTTGCTGGCCTGCTCAGCCTTGTTGAGTCGAGTCTCTGGCTCAGTTGAGTTGGTACGACCATGCTGCATTCCATTGAATCAGAAAGGGTACCGGTACCGGCACCATTTCATAGCTAGCTAGAAAGATTGTGTTTTGAAAGGAGTGCTGCTCGCTCCGTGTTGACATTTTAAATCTAGGTGATCTAAACCACGGAAAAGTTACTACAAAGTCCATCAAACAGATGTGTGCATATTCAAAGTAGTGGAGATGACAGGAGATGTTGAATACAGTATGCTCGTAATGCCCTATTTTGGGTTCCCTTGCTTTTGTCTCGAGTAGCTACGATCCTTGCACTTCGCCGTACCACGCTCTTCATCCAGACAGCAAGTGAAAGTGTATGATATAGCTATAGGTGCTGTTTAATTAAAAGGTGGAAGTGCGGAAGACATGAACGTTAAACTGGACCAGCCAGCTCTTCATGCATTTAGCGTGCTTGCTTATTCTTCGTACTTGTCAAAGACCAAAGCACAGTTTGTTCCTCCGAATCCAAAACTGTTGGACATGGCACGCTTGAATGATCCATCCTTTCTCTCTGTGAGGATGTTCATTCCTTCTGCCTCGTCAACAAGGTCATTGATGTTGGCAGATTCAGCCATGAAATCGTTTTCCATCATCAAAATCGTGTAGATGGTCTCGTGGACTCCAGCAGCTCCCAAAGCGTGTCCGCTCAAGGACTTGGTGGATCCAACATTGGGTTGGTATCCCTTCTCAGTGAACAAGGTTTTGATGGCTCCAAGTTCCATGACATCACCGACAGGTGTGGAAGTTCCGTGAGTATTGATGTATTCAATGGGCTTTTCTCCGGCGTTGCGCTCGGCTTCAGAAATGGCCAATTGCATGCAACGTTGTCCACCAACACCCGATGGGGCAACCATGTCGTATCCGTCAGAGTTAGCACCGTATCCAACCAATTCAGCATAGATTTTGGCACCACGGGCCTTGGCGTGTTCAAGTTCTTCCAAGACAACAACACCACCGCCTCCAGCAATGACGAATCCATCACGGGTCTTGTCGAAGGCCCTGGATGCAGTCTTGGGAGAATCATTGTAGGAGGTGGAAAGTGCCCCCATACAGTCAAACATACTTGTGAATTGCCAGTTGACGTTCTCACCTATAAACAGTAATGCATTGTCCTGTCAGCAAATCATAGGCGTATCGAAGTAGAATCATTTCACTTTATCAAAAGCCAACCACCAGTGGTACATTTCATTCCAAACGAGAAAATTCACTTACCGGCTCCACAAAAGGCAATATCACTCTTTCCAAGCTGGATTTGTTCCATACCAGTTCCAATGCAGTGGGCACCAGTACTGCATGCACTGGAGATGGAATAACTAGCTCCCTGAACCTTGAAGGCAGTGGCCAAAACAGCACTGCATGTGGATCCCATGGATCGTGTGACTCGGAAAGGTCCAACCTTGTTCTTCCATCGCTTACCTCCTGATTGGACGGCATCTACAGTTTCCACAATGTCGGGGATGGATGTACCTCCCTGTCCAATAATGGCAGCCACGCGTGGATTTTCTTGGTATTCCTCCGGCTTGAGTCCAGAATCCTGAATGGCACGGTCCATGGCAATGTAGGCGTATTTAGCATTGGTTCCCATGAATCGAAGTGCTGTTTTGGGGACTAGTTCCTTAAAGTCGGCATCATCAAGATCGGGTTTTCCAAACACTTGACTGCGGATGCCAAGCTCGGCAAATTCGTCGGCGAAAGAGATACCTGGCTCACATTCCTTCAATGACTTGGTCACATCTTCCAAGGTGTTTCCAAGACAAGAGACAATTCCCATTCCAGTGACGACCACACGACGAAGTCCGGTAGCTGTCATGCAAAGCTCAGTTGATGCCCTTTGTGGTGTTTGTGGGACTGTAAAGCCAATAGAAAAAGTGCGGATAATAATGCCAAGCAAAAAAAATATTAAAAATTAAAAAAGTGTGAGACACATGGATACCCATGGGTATCATCGCCCAATATACAATCAAGGAGGTGGTGCACCCCTCCAATCAATGGTGCTGCCTACGAACCTTGAGAGTTGACAGCGAATTTACTGCCTCCAACAAAGCTGCTGCCTGTAGCAGGGGTTGTAAAGGCACTAGCCAAAGGCGATGCAAGCACCAAGAGAAGAGCACTGTTGCGGAACATTTTGTTGGTTGTCTGGAGAATAAAATCTAATCTATGATAATGTGATTGCCCAAGGTTAAAATATGACACAAGCTACGCAAGAAATCTCTTTGCTTCGCTTTCCATCAAACTTTCGACTTTGAGCTAACTAAGGAGCCTGCTGCCGACGTCGGGATGATGTCGCGATAAAAGGTCGACGAAAAGGGGGGTTGTCTTGGTTTTTGGGAGACGAGAGGGCTTCAAGGAGATGGCGATCTTTGTAGTCAGAAGCCCTATTAGCATCCAGTGTATTTCCGTAGTGACCTAGCTAATGATTAGAAAATTGGGGGTAGCTCAGCTGACGATCTGGATTCTACACGTCATTGAAATGATCTACGTAGCCGCCTACAGGGTTGCTGGTATGGTACGTGTTTCTAGCCGGTGGGAGACTTCTCATGTGGAAAAAGTATCTTTCGTGATCTTTTTGGCCAGCGCTTCACTTCTCTGATTGGCTGGATTCATCCGCCATTCCATTCAGTCGTAGGTCAGCCCATCAGGTGCCATCATCGGCCTTTTAGAGGCTTCAGTTTGGTTTCTTGGCCCTGGTTGCACTTGGATTGATTGACGTCCCGCTCCATCAGTCGTCGCCCTCTCCCTGCGTTTGTGCTGTCACCTGCAAAAGTCCCGAAATTTGGGCTTTTGGCAGACACATCGTGCTTGGCCGGGACGTCCTCGATTTGATTGAATCATTGAATCCATCCATCATTAGCATATATATTTATTTGCAGAACCATCCAACCAACCAACCAACCAACCAACTAAAAGACAGCCGGAAGCAGTGCACCAAAGTTCTGCATCTCTCCTGTCAGTGCATTATCCTCATTTTTGTCTGGTCGGAGGCAATCTGTATTCATTTTCCATTATTTATACTCCTGAAGCAGCGCCAAGATGAAAACATTCTGTCACTGGTCCCTCTGCTCCCTTGCCTTTTTGGTAGGCAGCGTTTCTGCCTTTGCCCCCCAAAACAGCAAGGCGCCGGTCTCTACTACAACACAACTGGGAGCCTCAGCTGGAGCCCTTGGGTGCCGCCCCATTGGAATTGGCTCTGCAGCCCCCAAGCATGTTGTCACGAATGTTGACCTAGAAAAGGTTGTGGAAACATCAGATGAGTGGATTCGAACACGGACAGGTATTTCCAAGCGCCATCTTTTGCTAGATGGAGAGGATCTTCGAAGTTTGGGTGCCGAGGCAGCCAAAAATGCCATTGACATGGCGGGAATTAAAGTAGAGGATATAGATCTGGTAATTGTTGCCACTTCCTCAGCAGATGACATGTTTGGAGATGCCCCATCCATTGCCCAGGAAATTGGATGTGGTACCAACACTGTGGCATTCGATTTGACAGCTGCCTGCTCTGGATTCCTGTTTTCCACGGTCACGGCAGGAAAATTCTTGTCAGGAGGTGGATTCAAGAATGCTGTGGTCATTGGGGCCGATGCTCTGTCTCGATGGGTGGACTGGGATGACAGGAATACCTGCATTTTGTTTGGAGATGGAGCTGGTGCTATGGTCCTTACCACTGATGAAGATTCCCCTGGAATTTTGGGTTATGCTGCCCATTCCAATGGAGGGGGATACCAGGATCTGAAGCTAGGGTACGTCCTAAACGGTTTCTTTGTTGCTTCCATTTTGAAAAAGTGAGAGACGAACGAAATGTGCTCAAATCTATTTGCTCTCAATTGTGTTCGTACAACTAATGACACAAGATATGAGGGATCTCCACGTCACGTAGCCACCCCAGGAGAAGGAACCACGGTCAGCAGTGGTTCTTTTGGGAAAATCGGCATGAACGGAAAAGAAGTGTACAAATTTGCCACTCGAGAAGTCCCCGCGGTCCTCCAAGAGGCTCTGGATTCAGCAGGCATGACAATTGACGATGTTGATCACCTGCTCCTTCATCAGGCCAACATTCGAATCATGGAAACTGTGGCAAAGCGACTTGGCATTTCAATGGACAAGGTTATTGCCAATCTGGACGAGTATGGAAACACAAGTGCCGCCTCTATCCCATTGGCGTTCGATGAAGCAGTAAGATCAGGCAGAGTTAAGAACGGCGATGTCGTTGCATGCGCCGGATTCGGTGCTGGTCTCTCCTGGGGAGCAGCAATCTTCAAGTGGAACTAGCTTTCTGGCCAAGAAGGCGAGCAATTTCAAGCTCTCACTCCTCGCTAATTCCGTCCGTACAGACTAAATTGCGCGCTAGTAGACTTCATCTATTCACATGTACAAATAAACGGCTTCTGGTTCAGTTCTACTAGAGCGAAAGGTTTCACATACCGTTACATCGTGCCACTCCAGGAGAACACGAGAACACTGCCACCTTTTGAAACTATTCATGCGGTGACCATATCAATGGAACTGTACACCGGGACAGCGAGTTGTTGTACTGGTATCCACACCTTGTGAAGAAGCGACATTAGAGAGTTGCTGGATTCTAAGGGTCTGAGGTCGATGGTGGTGGCTCACTTGGAAGCCCTGATCGTCAACTCTGTCCGTTCGTGGCACTTCGACGACGGCATTTGAAAAGATATCGGAGTGACTTGCGGCTTGAACGTTGATTGCTACAGCTTATGATGCATGCATTTACTTGATTGAATTCGTCACTATCACGGTCCTGGCATCTTCATCTTCTAAAACGCTGCGTGCCACACAGTCCTGGCTTGTACCATGGTACCAACGGGCATGCGAAAAGGATGGCAAGAAAAATGGCCACGGACCGTGCACAAAATGTTTGGACCTATCTCTCGCAACCTCAAATTGAACCTGTACAATGTACCGGTACCAGGTACGTAAATAATGTACCAAAGATCGCCGAAACGTGGAAACACCAGGTAGCTGTGGTAACACCTACGTTCATTTTCAAGGTAAATTTTCTTTTACCGCATCTACTAGACTATCTCTTGGAAGCAGCGAAGCGAACTCCAACAAGGAATAAAAGGAAGAAGCTGACACTTTTTCTTTTTTCTTGCTCGAAGTAGCTACCGGTACATGTGCATGTATTGCATCTCTTAGTTTTTATCAATTGCAGCAACATTACCAATCAACAGACTCGTTGATTTGACTTATTTGTAGCAAGGTTGTTCGTTTTCGTGACTATGACGATTCGATTCGATCTGCTTGATTCCTTCATGCGGGCTGAAGGCAGCACCTTGACGAAGACAGAATCTAACCTTAATGCTGCCTGGTACCCTGTTGATGACACAGGAGAGTGCCTTCGGTTTGGTGTGAAAGATAATGCACCATATGAAGAGCTATCATGCCTTTATCCAGCATATGGAAAGACATACTTTGAGTTTGAAAAGACTGGGATGACAAAGTTCCATGAGAACATGTGGGATTTCATGAGACGCAACCCTTGGCTGGCCTACTTCACATGTGCACTCTATTGGCTTGGTATTGTTTTCGGGCGGAGATACTTTGCCAACCGACCTGCCTGGAACTGTCGAAAGGCTTTGGCAGCATGGAACCTGGGCTTGGCAATTTTCTCCTTTGTGGGATTTGCCCGAACCGCACCGCAGCTGGCTCACAATATCTACTACTATGGTTGGAAAAACACCCTTGACTCCTTTCCCCATAGTTCCTTGGGACAAGGAAGCAGCTGCTTCTGGGTGTTGGCCTTCGTTCTCAGCAAGTTTGTGGAACTCATTGATACATTGTTCATTGTGGTCCACAAGAAGAAGCTGCTCTTCCTGCATTGGTATCACCACATAACAGTTCTTCTGTTTTGCTGGCATGGGTGGATAGCACTGCAACCAATGGGTCTTATCTTTTGCGTTGTCAACTATGGTGTTCACAGCATCATGTATTTTTATTACTATTTGATGGCTGTCAAAAGAAAACCAAAGTGGTTCAATCCTCAGGTAAGTTAGTTGCCTTGATGATGTCACTGTAGGAGCCCTCTCTTACCCAGCATACGTGTTCAGGTCATCACGGTGGTACAAATTTTGCAAATGGTTGTGGGAGTTAGGGTGTGTGCACAATCTTGGCACTTGGCCAAAGAGCCTGGGTCCTTTGTCGATAAGAGGATTATCATGGCAGGCTTTGTCATGTATGCAAGCTATCTTGCCCTGTTCATGCAATTCTTTGTTAACCGATACCTGGTTCTCAAGAAAGTTAAGCACTCGTAGAACTGATCATTCACAATACAAAGAACAATCAACAACTCAACAATCAAGATATCATGTGAGTGCTCCATGATGAGTCATTCCATGTTGAAGGGGCTAGCTAGCTAGGCTTCCGCAAGGAGGTTTCGCTTGGGAAGTGCAGAGCATAATGTATGTAGTCAGTGTTTACAAACTTGTATGCATGAAACAATTGCTTTGCCGAATGTGGTGTTACAAGAACCGGACTTAGCTACAAAACAGGACAACCTAGCTACTAGTAGAGTATGATGTACAGTACTACGATAGAGTAGCGGTCGCGTCTCATCCTTTTGTTACGTCTCCTGAGACGACGCTCCTTTTGGTTACCCCCTCAGTGCACTCTGGAATGGATTTGCCGGCGTTTACTGTGTGAAATAAAGTAGCCGCACTTCAGTTGCAGAATCAACGGTCATGTGTATCGTTAAGTAACAAGTTCCCTTTCGAAAGATTTAGATCGATTCGTGGATAAAGGAACCGTTGAAGTTACTAAGGTTAAGGATAAAATGCCCGGAGGAGTATGGTGGACTTGGATTTATGTCGGAGGGCAAGCTGTTTTGGGAAGTGTCATTGGAGAGTACTCTCTTTTCACACTAAAAGATTCAAACAGACTTCACGGAACAGCCTGCCCACCTGCCCCTTCTTTGAAAGCAGCCTCACTCCTCACTCGCGCTCAACCAACAACCAACAACCAACAACAAGAGCAACACAACAAGAGCAACAGAATGGTGGAGGAGGAGCGGCCGATCGCTACTACTACTACTACTATTACGGGTAAGTCTATTATCAAATGTGTTATTATTGAAGGCGCAGCACTGACTTCTCTCCCTCATTCAATTCCTATGGTAAATGGGAGAGAAATACCAGCTTGGCCGACAACAGTGGTATAGCTACCGGTAGGAGGAGTTCTTTAAATCCAAGCCGATCGATCGATCGATCGATCGAATCGATCGCAATGAGGTAAGCCTATTATCAAGTTATCAAGAGTGTTAATTGAAGGTACAGCACTGACTTCTCTCCCTCATTGGATTTCTATGGTATTCAGTGCAATACATGGCTCTTAGCCTTATTCGCGACTCGATCCTAGATAGGGTTTGAGTTCGACTCATGACTGAGTCTTTCGTGAATAGTCATTGAGACAGGGTTCTCAATGACCGCTCTAGTCATACTAGGTTGATGATGAAACATCGCTCTAGATATTTAGCCAGCGTGGAGCACTTCCACGCTACTAGATAAATGCCAGACGAATCTTCCACGCGTTCCATTTTTGGATCGTGGAGTGAGTAGGATTGCTACCGCAACCTACTCTATCACACTCTACAGTCTCCCGCGGGAAATCAGATCTACGATCCTTTGGTTGTGGATCTCTCTCGTTGATTAGTTTTCACAGCTTTCTAATCCTCTCATAACTTTCATTCTCTCAAACTCAAAACACTCGAAAGATCTTTACACTAGCTTTTAGCGTAGTGCATTTTGTTAACAAAAACAATAGCTTTCAGCTACCCTCAACCTATTCCTCACCATGAAGATTGCCAAAGACGCTTACACCAGCTTCGAGTCTAAGCTGCGCGACAAACCAATCCTTCCTCTCATCGACCTCGACGATGAATGCGAAATCGACGATTCTCGCTCTACCATCTACAAACTTCACACTGTTCCAGCAGATGCCAACAGCGCCAAGTACACCTTCAAGGTCCAAATCATCAATGGATCTGAGACTCCACGTCAGACCATCAAGTGGGCTGGACGCATGGAGAAGGTCTTCGTTGGGCTCGCCATTGCTACGCCTACCGATAAACATAACCTCCTCAAGGAGATGACTTCTAGCTCTGCCAAGAGCAGTTACGAATCTAGCTGTGCAGGCCACCGTGAACTACGTTGGAATGCCTTGCGCCAGATTGCAGTCAACGGCATTCCTCCACGCGACATACGTGGTGGTGAAGACGAAGCCACTTTCCAAGCACGTTTCCAGAATGCCTGGGACGGAGCAGCTCAGCCTGCTTTGGACGACTCTGACATTACGTTCGGCATAAATGCCTGTGTCGAAGCGGTCTGTCCCTACAAGGCTCTTGAAAAGCAGAAACGCTTCATGCGCCGCAAGATGCGTAAGCCTGCTGAT